TATATATATATATTCAAGAGTTCGATAATTCGTGTGACTTAAGTATTTTATGATTTTTGGTGCATATTGCATCAAAAATGCTAGGGTTTTTTTAGTACATTTTACGATTTTTATTCCATTTAAATTCAGGCATCGATAATTAAACATCCATTCTGTCATATCTAGACATGAGCAAAACCGCTCTTTTTAACGATCCGATCAAAACCGCTCTTTCAATGAACTGAATCAGCTCTTTTTCATGGCTCACCTCTCGCGCATACGGAAAAGTTTCCAGAATCGGCAATAAAAGTTTATTGTCTCAATTACATGATTGTTATAAAAAGAAATGATCTGTTCAACTTTTTTCTATTATTGCCAACAATAAAATTCAATTTTTTTTTAAAATGAAGAATTAAAATTTGGTTACTTAATAATTAACACTCCTGTAATTTTATTACATTTTTTGTGAACGAGTGAATAAAACAAAAATCAAAATACATAAACAAATAAATGTGCATATATAGTGGAAATAACTATTTTCATAAAACATAAAAAATATAAAAAATTAACACCTATTGTTTTCTAAAACGGGCAGAGCTCATCTATTGTGATTTCTTGAAGCTGATTAAAACCTGAAAATAAATAGACAAGGGCTAGTATTGCTCAATGTTGGGAAGTTGGATCGCGAAGCGTTGAAAGTTGAACGGTCGGACTGAAACAAACGAAAGTCAAACAAAAGTCTCATGGGCGACACATAAAAGAAGATCCACGCACCATGCAAAGTAGTCCTAAGGTTTTTGAGAAAAGAGCTCGTAGTTGTTCGTGGAGGTGGCTGGCTCGATGATGGTGGACAATATATTATAAAAATGTTTAAATCTACCCCTAAGTAACAAAATTAGAAAATTAAAAAATAAAATAACAGAATAATTTCCTCGTAGAAAAAATTAGTCGGGCTCAAACAAAAGTGAACATAATAAATAATTAATTAATCTTTATCTAAGGTATTGTTTGAAATGAAAAAGTTAGTGTCACAAGTCACGATAGCTCAAGTGGTTAGAGCAGCGGCGTATTGAGCCGAATGTCGTAGGTTCGAATCCCGCTCGTGACACTCATTTTTTCATTTCAGCCAAACATTACATAAAGATTAATTGAAAGAAGTTATTTGGCTAATCGGACCACGAAATATAACGGATATAATAAATAATTTTATGAAATTGAAAAATAAAGAAATATAATTAACGATTACACAGGGTGACCTTTTTAGATGGCCGGGTGAATTTCTCATGAACCAATGACGTTATAAAAAAATGTACGTGTAATAAACAAAAATATTTTATAATCTAGTTTCAAATTTTTATTGTTTTTTTTTTTGTAGAAAAATTATAAAGGATACCTAAGGCCCAGTTCAATATCAATTTCAAATTTGACGTTATACATCCTGACACACCATATTAAAGGATTTTTTACGCCAAAAAAATGATGCAATGGGATTTTAAATTGATCAAAAAATGACAAAGTTATGGCAAAAAGTTTGAGAAAAAACAGTCATTTCGTTTGCTATTTATTAAAACCATTTCATGTTCTACTTGCCTGGCTTGTGTAAAGATGAAAAGATTTGCTCATTTTAACCACTCTTCACCGGTGCACAGAACGAGAGTCAGGGGAGATGAATTGACAAGCATTTTCTATCCTTTGCCGCAGTTCTACAACTGAGGTTGGTAGATTACGTTTAGTGTAGACACTGTTTTTTAAATGGCCTCTCACAGAAAATAGTCGAGTGGAGTTAGATCGGGTGACCGAAGAGGCCAACAAATCGGTCCGTGAGGACCTATCCACCCATCCCGGAAGTGATGATAACGTCTCACTTGCAAAGAATTGGTGCATCCATCAAGCTGGAAAAACATTCTTTGTCGTTGTTACAGAGCAACATCATCTAATAATGTTCGTACAACCTCCACCAAAAATTGAGAAACTGATAACCATTTAAATTATTTTCGCAGAAATAAGGCCCAATTAATTCCGAGAAGCCCACCATACGTTGATACTGTGAACCATCTGATGATGACAAGAGAAATTCTCGGATATTCCTCTGCCCACGTTCGAAAATTCCAACGGTTTAGTATGCCATTAGCAGGAACATGGATTCATCAGTCCAAAGGATGTATGGGAGAACGTTTTCTTCAGCCTCCCAAATAGACATTTGAACAAGGAAAGTTAGACACCTGTCATGCTTATAATCCGGAAGTCCCTGGACAAGATGAGACGGATACGGTTCAAAATTGTAAGTCTGGAGACATCTCTAATTTTATTTTTTGAAAAACCTATAACCCTTCCAAAATTTTGGAGAGAGGGATTTGGATTTTCGTGATCTTACAATAAAACATTCAGCTCTTCGTCGAAATTACGCTGTCGGTTTCATGGTGATATAACTCTCATAAATGGACTAACTCCTCAGAACACGAATAAACGTTTTGTGGTTTAATCTGGAGTGATCAGGACATTTCTTGGAGTACAACTCGACTGCACGACGCGCAATACCACCACTATCAATAAAGCAGTCATACATACCAACTCGCTGTTGATCGAAAAAATGTGCTCTTTGGTTCATTTTGAACGAAATACTGAATATACCGAATAGGCACTGTTGTAAAATTTATTTACTTCCAGGAATAACGATTTGGTCACATAATGCGAGTTTGTCAAACAATGACCAATGTAAACAATAAAGGCAATTAATCTTTAGTGAAGTTCTTTAGTGAAGAAGCAAATTCTTGGAATTAACAACGAAATGCCAAATTTTCAACTTTTTGCCATTAGTTTGTCAATTTTGGACCAATTTAAAATCAATTTAAAACGTTTTCAGCGTACAAATCCTTTAAAATGGTGTGTCAAGGTGTATACGGTCGTATTTGAAATTTTGAAGTTGAACTGTGCCTAAGGTACCCTATATAATTTTTCTCCAAAAAAAGGGAAACATTTGAAACTAGACTAAAAATATTAATTTTTTTTTATAGCGTCATTTGTTCAAAAGAAATGCAAACGCGCCATTTAAGAAGACCCTGTATAAATTTTTTTGTTTGTATATTTGTTTTATCGTGGTTATGAAAAAACATATTTTATAAAAGCTTTCAAAAGTAATTTTCCTCGTTGTCCAAGCATTGATGAATATCCATTCCATTCGCGAAGCTTTCAAGTCGTCTTTTGAAATGTTATTGAAGCTTTTTTCCCCGATCGACCGGGTGGATACGACAAAAAACATGTTTACACAAGGAAATTGTATGTGAAATTAAAAAACGTTCCGATAAAGTAACGGAAATGAAAGGAAAAAGCGTGATTGAAAGTGGCAAATTATCAACGGCCGTAAGACTGCCCAATGGTGAAAAAAACAGGTTGTCAGTTGACTTTAATTAATATTCTGCTTTCAGGGACGAGGAGGCAAAGGATCCATATTCGTTTGGGCGAGCGGAAACGGCGGCATGCACGAAGATTCATGCAATTGCGACGGCTATACAAACAGTATTTACACGCTATCGATTTCCAGTGCGACGCAAGCAGGGTAAACAATACTGAATTCATTCACATGTTTTAAATTGGGCCAGTCGATTGTAACCATAAAATCGATTTTTTATCATTTCCAAGAAGTTTGTTGAGATTTCAATAAATATAAAACACCCATGACATATTTTATTTTATATTTACCGACAAGTCATCCCTCTTCTATACAAGCTTCACTTATGTTACAAAACCACATCTCAACAATTGAAAAATGGAGCAATCTTTGTAAAATAAAGTTTAACCCTTCCAAATCACAATACATCACCTTTAAACCCCGTCGTGAGTCTTGTCCTAGCATATAAATGAACCGGTTCCCCAATCCAAGAAAGTAAACTATTTAAGGCTTACATTTGATAATGCCAAACTTGAATCCACACACACGATTAAAATGATTTATTGCTTACACCACCCACAATCAAAATTACCATTAAAATCAAAATCTTCGAGATACACATATCTACTCAAACCTATTTGGATGTACGAGTGCTAAGTTTATGGATCAGCCAAATATTCCAATATTCAAAGATAAAAAAAATTTCAATCCAAAATTTGAAGATTAATTGTTTCTGCCCCTTTTTACATAAACAATAACATATTTGAGGGGCGTCGGTGGTCACAACGGTTTAGGCGATGACACGGCGCTCATCACTGTAAGGTAAGAGTCTCGGGTTCGATTCCAGCGGCCCTGCATTCGAACCCGACATACATAAAATAGGCTTTTTCAAAAACACTGGCACCCTGAGAGTTGATATGATGTTGTTGCGAACCATCGTAAAAAATAAAAATAAACAACAAAAAGCAAATTACAAAATCACTTTTTAAAAATATGTAAAATTGGGTGGATTTAGGATGAATGATTTAGACTTGTTAATAGAAAGATTTGCGGACCTGATTAAGGAAGCGGCAGGTAAAGCTAAATCTTTATGTAAGGCACAAAAAAGGGAGATGTGGTTCGATAAAGAATCATATTAACACAGAAATACGATTACTCCATTCCCTTCAATTACCAGTAAAGTTTGACAAGAATATGGATAACAGACCTCCTAAATGCTTAACATCATTTTATTAATCCAGAACTGCCAATGGGTAGCTTTCCCTATAACGACCGTAATGCCACAAACATAAATTACCCAATCTGCTGGTTGTATGTAATGCATGTACAGTGGTAGATACAAATAAATTGTTTTCTTTTCTTATATTTACCTTTTTCTGAGGAGATCCTCTTAGCTTCCATAAATTTGAAAAACCAATATTTATTTATACACACAATCTAGAAATTTTAACACCAATTATTCAAAAAAGTTTCAACAAAAACGAAATAGCCAAAAAAGAAAAAAATTGCCAAGATAAACTAGTAATTTAGTTCTTTTTTCATTATTTTCAAATTGCTACCGTCGTTTAAAGGAAAATATCATTTTTGTATTAAAGATTAAAGATATGCTTTAATAATTCAGATAGATTCAATAATGCTACGACAAAACAAAATTGATTTCATATACTGACGTGTATTTATCTACTTTTCTCGGGATAATATTCCACCTTTTAGGATTTTTTTGTTCATTTACGAGTGAACATTTAACATTTATTTCAGCAAAACAATGTTTTAGTTTTTATCTGAAATTTATCAGTGGTAAGAAAATAAAAGTAAATATCTTTGAACAAATTGCGCCTTTATCTGTATGTTAATTAAAGTGTAATTTCAGATTGAAACCTTGGTATTTGGAAGAATGTTCTTCCACCCTTGCTTCGACCTTCAGCTCCGGTACACTCGGAAGGGACAAGAGTGTAGCGACAGTCGATATGGACCCGAAGCTGAGGCAGGAACACCTCTGCACGATGGATCACACTGGTACACTCTTCCTCCGGGTAAGGCCAGATTTTAGGCATCCGGTTGAAAAATTGTCGTTTTCCAGGAACCTCGGCTTCGGCACCGTTAGCGGCTGGGATGTGTGCCCTTGCTCTCGAGGCGAACCCCAACCTCACCTGGAGGGACATGCAGCACATCCTCGTCCTCTCGGCCAACCCGAAGCCTCTGCTGAAAGAGCCCGGGTGGACGGTAAACGGAGCCCGAAGGAAAGGTAACGTTTGTTTAAACAGGTTTTGAAAAAAAAAAAAACAAGCGTTTTTAGATACTTTCAATTGAAAATTTTGTTATGACAAATAAGGCTAAACATATTTCTAACGCAAATAATATAGAGGAGTAATTAAACTTGATATTTAAGTGCGTACTGTAGCCCTACGGATTAGTACTCAATAACTATAATACATAAATAACACCCTAACGCACACCAAGTAGTATTGCATGTCTTTGGTTCTAATGCAAATAATGCCACATTGTACAAAAAAAAAAAAAGATGTTTTATCTATACATCTCTTTTGCTCTCACTCTTTCCCTTTTTTCTTCTCAATGCCTTTTACTATCTCTTACTTTCTCTCTCCCTCTCTCTCTCTCTCTCTCTCTCTCTCTCTCTCTCTCTCTCTCTCTCTTTCTTTCTCTCTCTTTTCTCCTCATTCACTTTTAATATCTTTTACTACTTTCTTTCTCATTCTCTTTTTTCTTATATATTTACCTATCATCTTTATATATCCATTTAATTATCTCTCTACCTTTCTCTATCGTGCCTTTTTACTTCGTCACTCTAGTTTCAAAAAATGTATTATTAAAATAGAAAATCCAAGGTATTAGTTGATATTTCTTGAACGTCAGATTTGCACGGCGCTTAGTTCATTAGTTTTGCAAGACCCTCTAGTCAAGATGGTTTAGCATACCATTCTCGCCGTGATTAGAAGCAGGTTTTTATCTGCCATTAATGAATTGTGTGTTGAACCTACCGACAATTTCCAATTATTTTGTACCTATTCATATGATTTCATCTCCTACGATACTTACTGTAGCCATTACCATGAACCTACTAAACTAAGTGGGCAACGCAAAATAAAATTACACAACGATAAATTAAAACGGTATTCAGTGTAAAGCAAATATCTAATAAAAGTAGCAGCATGACAAGTTCTTTTAACAATTAGTAAAAAAATAAGTTCATATATATATTGTAGTTTCTTCGTTACAGTACGAGATAAGCCTTTGAATATAATAAGTGAAAGTTCCGCACACAGATTTGCAACATTGAAATATTTTGTAATGTCTAAAAGAGTGAATGAAGGCTTTCTAATGCAAAACAAATTGTACCGAATAAGAAAGGAAAAACATTTTAATCAACTACTTCATAATTTACAAGTATTATTCATTAAATCTTTATCCTGAAATTTATTTGCGAGTAAACCTTAATCCCGTAAGCTCTCGTATAATCCCTTTGTGACTTCAACCCTCCCAGATTCTTGATTCTGAATAATCTTCTCTTAAACCGGGACTAGCCTTTTGAAATTTACAACTTTACTTTCGACTCAATAAAACTATAATTTTTTTGTTAAATCTTGTACAGGAATTCATTATACTCTATTTTCAAGTAAGACTGACCTTTTATTTTGGTTTTCAATATGATTCATTTTCTCACACATTATACAGTACTCTGGACAAATTAATGTAATAGGATTTTTTTTTAATATAGTTGTATTATAACATAGCAAAAGAAATTGCATGAAATTTTTGCATTCAATGTTTTAATAAACGTGCGTGCAGAGTAAATAGACTTATTAAAGTAATTTGAATGTTTTTATTATTGTTTGTGGGTGAAATTCACTTCTAGGCTAATCAAGATAGCCTAAACAGCGAGTTTGCATTGCAATTCATTTCTAAGCCCTGTTTTAAACAGTTTGTTATTCATTTCTCCTTCCTTTTATTGATTCGTTAGATGTAAATTTAAAGAGGTATCAGAAAGACTTCTAATGAAACGATGTCTTTACATCATAAAATTCAGTCTTGATTTTAAAAATTTTATAAAAAAAATACTGAAATATTTCTTAACGTTATTTAAATTTAGTTATGAGTCTATTTTTATTTACAATACCGTTGAAAGCAGTGATAATTTGGAGATCGTCAGATGCGGTCTGGTTTGACGTAGGTTTTAAAAAAACATTTTCTTTATCGTGCCAACGTTTCAATCTTTTTTAAGATCTTCTTCAAGGACTGGGATTTATAAACATTGTTTAAATTTTACAAATACATGTAGGATGTGAAAAAAATAAATTTATACTATACTATATCGATAACATACATATACAGCATCACATCACACAAAACATATAATATAACATATAAAACAATCATCATATTTCTACATAGTCTAATTCTTCGATAATTTGTCTGTTCTTTCCCTAATAATCCCCGTCTATACAATCCTGAAAGGATAATCAGGCCGAACAATTACCCATTTTTTCCTTTCACCTCAAAGAAGCCGACTCCTCAAATAAAAATGCTTTTCTATCCCGACTTCCTCCTTCTCCACCCCTTCAAAATCCTATATATATAAACATAACACAGCCACTCTCAACACGACACGCAAGAATGGTACAATTACTCAGAAGACAAACACTTTGAGTGAGTAGAAATACTTTGATTGAATATAAAAATATATTTTGCATTGTATAAATTCACTTTTCCACATCCTAAATGTATTTGTTAAATGTAAACAATGTTTGTAAATCCCAGGCCCTGAAGATGATATCAATAAAGGTCGAAACGTTGGCACGATAAAAAAAAAATATTTTTCTAAAACCTACGTCACACCAGACCGCATCTGACGATCTCCAAATTATCATTAACACGGTCACTAAACATCACACTTTGAAAGCAGTCTTGAAAACGTCAAATTGGTGTCACAATGATTCCTACTCTTGTAATAAAGCAAGCCAAATACTTACTATATTATATTTACAGTTAGTCACAAATTCGGATTCGGTCTGATGGACGGGGGTGCCATGGTAAACCTGGCTGAGCAGTGGACGACAGTCCCGACACAGCACATCTGCAAGACACCCATCATGACGGTAGACAGGTAATTTTCCGGTTGTCCGGATAGTTCCACTAAAAGTAGTTCAAACCACAAATCCTCTTTTGGTGTGACTCTTAACTTTTAGCAAGGAAAAAAGGATTATCGATTGAATATTATAGCTAAACTCTTTTTTGACCTTTTTTAATCCAGTATCAAGCATGTAAGGGTATTTTCACCTTTTTTACACTGGGTATAATATATTTTTTAAAATACATTAGTCTAAGTTATTAAAAACTTAAATAATATCTGTTTTTTTGTCTGAAGAATCTGACATTAACAGTGATAATCATTAATTTAGTTCTTAACGTTTGTTAGAACTAAACAACTAAACAACAACTAAACGTTTTACAAAAATATAATCCCTATTTACTTGATTAATGCAAAAAATCATTGAAGTTATGACCTTTATATAAGCCTATATTTAACAATATAATAAAATCGTTATTACAACCTAATTAGAAGTATTGATTAATTATTCAGGTAGTTCAAATATCAGAGTATAAACCGGCATTCCTTTAAATTTCAGGATTATAGACAGGTTGAAAATGAACGAGTTGTTCCTGTATAGGAACGAGAGCGGCTGCGAGGGCTCAGATAGCGAAGTCCGCTACTTAGAACACGTCCAGTGCAAGATAAAACTTCGCGTGAAGCCTCGAGGCAGCTTGAAAATCGTTCTCACCTCGCCCTCGGGTACTCCGAGCATCCTGTTGAAAAGCAGGCCTAAGGATAACGTGTTCGACGCCCTGGACGACTGGCCGTTCATGTCCGTCCATTTCTGGGGCGAGGACCCAAGGGGCACCTGGAAACTGGCAGTCTTCAATGATGGAAGAAGGGACCAAGAATTTGATGGTAGGATGTGGAAAATAAAAAATTAATTTTAACTTAATTTAAAAAATAAAAAATTAGTATTAATTTTTGTTACTTATCTACGTAAGTTCGTGCCTCCACCTCCACCATCAGGACTTGCGGGCTTGAACTCTGTGGCACTGACCTTCCTATCATACTGCATGAAAAACATTGATATTCCTTTTTAAAAGAAGAACCAAAATTTTCACAACAAGATAGCTTTAATTTCCAATACTTTAGCTCTCCTCTTTTTCCACTGAAATGCTCCATCGACGAAAACCTAAACGAAAATGGGCAAAAGACAATTAAGAAAACAAAAAACCTGGTATTTATTTTTTTTATCTACTTAAGTTCGTACCTCCACCTCCACCATATGGACTTACGGGTTTGAACTCTGTGACACTGACCTTCCTATCATACTGCATGAAAAACATTGATATTCCTTTTTAAAAGAAGAACCAAAATTTTCACAACAAGATAGCTTTAATTTCCAATCCTTTAGCTCTCCTCATTTTCCACGGAAATGCTCTATTCACGAAAACTTAAACGACTGGGTAAAAGACAATTAAGAAAACAAAAAAATTGTTCGACCTGGGATCATCAATCTTCTTGAATTACGTAATTGAACTCTGCGGTTCTTCCAAGAACTGACTTAAACCTAAGCCAAACATTGTAAAAAGACCTATCATACCTAATCCAAAAGTTCTACAGCCACTTGGTGTTCGGTTTACTCCTTCACCTCTTTCTGTCTCTTCACAAACATCCTAAAACTGGCCACAAAAGCTAAAATTACAATAGCAAAAGGCTACTAAAAACCAAAATAAATTGACTTTGAGCTTTGGGATCATTAGACCCTCTGGGCTTCAACCAAGACCTGACCTAAATTTGATCTAAACATTTCAGCCCAAAGTACTATACTTCCTATCATCAACAGCACATTTATACATGCACACAGCATACATGGAAAGAATTTGTCATATCCCGATTCCTAAGGTTCTAACAAACTTGGTGTTCAGTTCAATCTCTTCACCGCTTTCTCTCCTTCTGCGCAAAAACGTCTTAAACTCTCCACCATAGCTGAAACAAGGCAAAATACTACTGAAAACAAGGTAAACTGACGTTACACTTTGGGATGATGACCATCATTATTTTAATTTGATCTGAACTCTGTGGTTCTTCCAATAAATGACCTAAACCTGAACATTTCAGTTCAAAATTCTTCCCGTCACCTCCAATGAATGTCTGAATGTCTTGACCATAAAATCCTCGTTTCTAAGTCGATAACAAGTTCGACCCACACACTTTTACACAAACTATATTTAAAAAAATTATTAGAGCATAAACTTACCACAACAATCACAAGACCCATCTATACTTACGGATTAAACTTGCCAGTACTGCCAAACCTCAACCGAATTCAAACATTTCTAATACTGTATTAAAACCTTCCCTTTCTTTTGAAAAAAATTTTGTCATTTTTGATTGGAAGAAAACAAAGTGAATTGGCGTTATATCTTTCATAGACTATCATCAGATTCATATATATTAACGGACTTGAACTCTGTGGTTTTATGAAGAGTTCATCTTAACTTGATGTGAACATTTTAGTTTAATTACTTCCATCATCACCAATTCAAATCCTTCAAAACTTTAAAAACTTTAACAATATTTTTTTAAAGAAGTTTTTAAATCTTAATTCCAAATGTTTCACAGTAAGCTAGTTGATTACTTCAATCGTTCATCTCTCTTACAGAGTCAGACCTAAAAAGTAATAGATTTAAAGACTTTTTATCAACATCTCTCAAATGATAAAGAAATAAGAGAAAAATAGCTATATTCACTATGATATTGCAATTATAATTAATATATAAATAAATCTTATTATTTTAAGAAAATTCCATTTTTAACCTTCAAAGGGAAAACTAAACCTTTTAAATTTTTATAGAGAATATTTTTTATATCTTGTATATATTTTACCTATATTAGTTGGTGCACTGATGAAAAAAAGCCGTTAAACCCGAGGGAATTTTCATTCCTCTAAGAGAAGGCATTTAATTTTTTAAAAATAACCCGAATATAGAAAGAGAATGTAATAAAAATAAAGTCTGACCTTTTAACTTTTTTGAATTTTTCAACTCCACGTCAAATTTTAAAACCCGAGTGGCTGAAGTAGGTTTGAAACGTTTTCAAAATTATTTCCCTTCTTGGATTATGAATTTTTCCATTCGGCTTTTATCCCGAGGGAACAATAGTTTATTTTTTGAAATAGTGTTGCGTTCTTCGGAAATTAATCATTAATCAAATCAAACAACATTCAGAGTCTCTCTCGTTGAACCGTTTACTGTCTGTTTTGGTAATTAGTTTCAAAATGAAATTGAAAGTGTGTGTTTGAATTGAAATGTAATTAAAGTCCATAAGAAATCTCATTTTATGTTTTTTGTCCTACATTACAAACTGATTGAAAATGCACTTGTAATACTATACTGTAAGAGATTTAGAGATTTTTTTTATTTCTCTTTTTAGATCATAATAGAGGTAAAAAGAATTGAAAAAGTTTTCTGAGTATAGCATACTACACTATACATTTAGCATTTACAAAAGTCCAGTAGTTAAAAGGATTAAGGATTATTTTCCTTTCAGGGATTTTCAACAGGTGGCAGTTAATCTTGTACGGGACGGACACCAAACCCGTAAATCTGAGGCCTCCATCGTTGCAGCTTTTTAGGAAATTCGACGAAAGGGTGACAGAGACTTCTTTCTTCAAGGCGAGTACAGTCAAATCTCTTATCTCTATGTCTGCGTTTGCGCCCCCCCCCCTTTTAAATATTCTTTTCTCATGGATGGATGAATAATTATTTTTGTTTTGACAGGACAAGGCGGATTCCGATTCGGTCTACGAAGAGAACAACAATTTGGAAGAGACGGGCGAAGTGGTTTACAACTGCCACAGCCAGTGCGACGGCAAAGGCTGCTACGGCCCTGAGGACACTCAATGTATTTCCTGTGCGAATTACAAATTAAACAGGTAAATCGCTCGGTCGTACATAATGCAAAGTGAAAGTAAGGGATTTTGTACCGAATTACCTCGGGTCTGTAATAAACAATATTTCCGCTCTTACAACAATGCCAACCGTTCACGGTGGAGCCCCGAGGGAAATTTATTGAAAGAAAAGAGACATTTGTTTTGTTTCAATAACGCCACAGAGGATTGCGTCTTTTCTCCAAATATGGCACAGAAGTCTTGGGAATACCGAAAGACGAGTAAGAAAGCTATAAGAATTTTATATGCTCCCTTAAAGCCTAGTCAAAAAATTATTATGTACAGGGAAAATAACTTTCTTTGTTTATTCCATCTACCTCCGAGTTATACAGATCCAGAGATAATGTTTGTAATATCTTTTACGAAGAAAAATATTTTTTACTGCGATTTGTATCTCTTCAATAATACAAACCGTTCCTTTTAATCGAACATTTCAATAGCAAAAAATGTCTAAAAATAAACAGTCATGTTATTAAGGAATGAGAGGAGAGGTAAAAAAAATGACAAGTGATATTTGAAAGGAAAAAATATAGAGGTCGTGAATAGAGGTGTTATTTTTACACCACAATTGTATTTTAAACATTTAAACAAAGTAATAATAATATTATTAGAGTTGTCAATTGTGAAAGTTGCGGTCAACCTAACATGGAGATGTTTTCTCAAAAATCAGAATGTTAAATGTATATTGTCCCATTTTAAGCCCATCGTCTACGCATTTGTTAGGCCAGCCGAAAAGCCCCAATAATACATTATAATATTTTATTTTCGAAAAAAAAACTCTTTTCACTCCCAGAGAATCCTAATTACTTAAGAAGACAAGGATGGCCGAGTGGTTAGGTCGTCTGGCTGGGTTTGTATCCTAGCAGAGCCCCTGGTTTTTTAATAGAATATAGATTGAAAAATGATTATTCGGAGATCGTGAGATGCGGTCTGGTGTGACGTAGGTTTTAGAAAAACATTTTCTTTATCGTGCCAACGTTTCGATCTTTATTGAGATCATCTTCAGGGCCTGGGATTTATAAACATTGTTTAAATTACGCCCATCTCATTGGGGGGTGATTACACGATATTTGAAAAATGGCAAAAAGGAGGGAAAATTCGAAAGGTAGGTAGAGATGGGGAGTTCGTGTCCGAGTGGATCGAAGTCACGATAGCTCAAGTGATAGAGTAGCGGCGTATTGAACCGAAGGTCGTGGGTTCGAATCCCGCTCGTGACACTAGCTTTTTCATTTCAACCAATACCTTACTCTTAGATTAACATAACCAGGGAGAGAAAGTATTGGAGATTTTTCTTGGAATCCAGGGATTCTTGGTCTGTAGTTAGGTCGTTTTCGACCATCATGAACTGATTATCGTCGCTTTTTCGTCGTAAATGCCATACAGTCCGCATTAGAGAAGAAAGAGCACAACTTAAGGGGGCCATAAACATCGCCCAGGCGTTTGACAGAGTCTGACATCCGAGAACTTTAACTAAAGCAGTTCTTGGCCATTACTTATTACCCAAGCTTAAAAGCCTACCCAACCGATCGCTCCTCGAGAGTGTGTTCTCAAAGATAAAACCGACCCTGGTCGGCGTTGCACAGGGGAGCATCCTTACATCCCATTGTCACGAGGAGCTAGGGGTCGCCTACGGACACGTTTAGGAGGGACAAATGCCCCCTTCCATCACAGAAGGTAGGTCAATTAAATTTCTGGCTAATAAGCACTCGGCTCCTGATCTCTGCAGCGGACTGATCCTAGCTTCTCTAACTGGTTAAACCGTAAGTGCTTTTTTGTCTCCACCGATTATCAATTATCAATTATTAATTGCCACAAGAAAGTTTGAGGCCTATTTACTTTTAGTTTGTATATATTTTACCATTGAGTTAATAAATTTATTTTTGGTCAAGAAGGTTTTGTTTTACTTTTGCTTCTTTATTTTAATTCCTCCACGCTTTCATCACAGCGCACTCTGCTGATTTCGCTGTACGTGGGCTTTGGAAACTGCGAGCCATTTTCCGGACTTAAGGTAAGTTTAGGTAACCGAAGTCCGTCGCAGGATAGAGCAAAACTGACACTTGGTAGAAGAGCGTATTCCACGGCAAAGCTAACACCTAGTAGCTTGAACGTGGAAAGATCCCCTGCCACAGAAAAGAGAAAAGCAAACGTAAAACAAAACCTTCTTGACCAAAAATAAGTTTATTAACTCAATGGTAAAATCTATACAAACAAAGTAAATAGGCCTCAAACTTTCTTGTGGCAATTAATAATTGATAATTGATAATCGGTGGAGACAAAAAAGCACTTACGGTTTAACCAGTTAGAGAAGCTAGGATCAGTCCGCTGCAGAGATCAGGAGCCGAGTGCTTATTAGCCCGAAATTTGATTGACCTGCCTTCTGTGATGGAAGGGGGCATTTGTCCCTCCTAAACGTGTCCGTAGGCGACCCCTAGCGCCTCGTGACACCATCTTAACACAATTTATCCTGCTGACCTGCTAATCCATTCCAACACACGATATGCAGACGTTACTGCATATTATGTACACACCCGAATCCCATAGCCACAGCTAATATTCGGGAACAGCTCGAGCAGCAAAAAGTGGAAGATGAAATTTAACGAGAACGAGTGCACCGAAATCACGTTTACGTTTAAAAAAATCTCTAGCCTATTACCAACAGCAAGGAATCACTGACATCCACGTAAGTCAGATACTTAAGACCTGGGCAGCAGACTGACATGGAATCCACACACTATAACAGAACAGAAGGCTGACCAAAATCAGACATGACAAACTAACACATTATAAAACAACATTTGTCCTATTTGGACTTACGAAATAGAACTGTTGGGTACCACAAAGCCACCCAACGTCCAATATGGTTATCTTTGTAGTTCAATCTCCAGTGCAGTCTTGATCTGTCGTCTAGCTGGTCTACCTGATCCTAGATTCCATGGTTCTGAGAATCCTGGAACAACGTGTTGAGCATTGGTGGCAAAGCGGCTGCTTTAGCCGTGCTCATTAGCGACATTCTAAAAGGAATGATCCGAGTATGGCTATCCTATTATTTAGATATTCCACCCTTTTACCTTGGAATTATTGCAATTGCCATCTGTCTAGGCAATATTTATCCCATTATCTTTCATTTTAGGGGAGAAAGGGTGTTGCTACTGCTTTTGGTTCTATTGTCTCCATTGGTTGGGAGTTAACAGGCGTTGTCGCCGGTACCTGGCTACTTACTGTACTACTTAGCGCATATTCATCATTAGATGCCATTGTTACTGCTCTATTAGCACCCTTCTATATTTGGTGGTTTAAACCTGAATTTACCTATGCTTTCAAGCTTTCCATCTAAGCACACCAATCAAAAGTCCTGGAATAAATTACCCAAGCTCTCTGCTACGTCTTTAAACTTACCGTCCAAAATGACCTCAATACTCCCTTCCTTCAATGGGTGTCGGTAGCCGCAACAGTTAAGGCGCCCATCACTGTATGGACAAGGTGCCGAGTTCAAACCCAACATACTTACATTTTTTCTCAAAAACTCCCACTTCCGGACCTCTGCTGTTGTAAACCCCTGTAAAAAAAAAGAGGGGTTCCCTTTGATCAACATTTTACAACATCAACATCCATTCCCCGCTTCCCGAAATTCCACTAACTTTTCCTCTTACCCTAACCCTTCCGTACAAGCCGTTTCTACATCTCTCATCGCCATAATCCTCCATACCGCCTTAAACTAGAGACCTGCACGCCCCCTAATCTCTCAGCAACGAAGGTACCAGCATAGGACAGTGCTGACGGTAGTGCCCTTGATAAGACCGTGTAAAAATCAGAAGATTTGTGAGATATATGTACTGTATACAAATAAAAAATCTAAAAAATTTATCTGAATTAGGTCTACAAAGTACTTAAGTTTCCCGCGGAAAATTACCCCAATTTACTAGCTAAAGAAACCTATCTATATTGACAAATATGTCTCGAATTTTAATGCAGGAGCTGCGTACAGAAATGCCCAGACGAGGACTATTTCGCTTCAGATGGGCTGTGCATTAAATGTCACAGAGACTGTCGAACTTGTACCGGACCTGGCTATCACAGCTGCCTCACATGTGCAAGAAACCTTTACTACATAACAGATTTGGCCCTTTGTATCCAATCCTGCCCACATACCTACTTTCAAGAAGAAGAGACGAGAAGGTGCGTCAGTTGTCATGAAACTTGCGCCAGCTGCGAAGACGGGCCGAACCTCTGTTCTTCATGTGAATCACATCTTTATCTCTACAACAACTCTTGTCACGCTTCTTGCCCGCCGAAGACATATTTAAATCATCACTTAAGGTATTTTAATTTGTTTTTTACTTTTTAGCCTGGAGAATTTTAAACGTTTTGAAACAGGTGTGTTTCCTGCCACCCGTCCTGCGAGTGGTGTCATGGAAGCAAACAAAGCGACTGTATAGTGAAACATAAAGACGTCCGATGCGTCGGAGGAGCTTGCACTCACTGTCCCGGTGGACTCTTGATGCAGAACACATCTTGCGTCTCCGTTTGCAGTCCTGGCTGGTACCAAGTCGACAGAGTATGCAAGAGGTGTTGGCCCGGCTGCACGACCTGCTACGGCAGCAGGAAAGACGAGTGCGTTACTTGCGCCCCGGGAAGAACATTAGCGAGAGGACAGTGTCGGCTGCACTGTCCGAGAAACATGTATTCCACCGTATCCGGCTGTGCTAACTGTCATCAATTCTGTTCCACTTGCAACGGTAAGAAGGTTCTTTTTACATAAGTTTTAGATGATGAAATAATTTATTTTCGACCGACAAGGTGGCGGTGCGTATTCCTGCACTACTTGCGCTTCGGATAGGTACCTCGACGAGCCGTCGGGCCTCTGCTATTCTTGCCACAATAACTGCCTCACTTGTTCCGGCCCCACGAACATTTCTTGCACGGCTTGCAAGCGCAACATGATACTGGACGGCGGCCAGTGTCTCAAGTCCGTCACCAGCGAGGGCACCGGATGTGTCAACTGCATCCATACAGAAGGTATACAAGTTATTCATGAAGATTATTTAGAGATGTGAGATGCGGTCTGGTGTGACGTATGTTTACAAAAACATTTTCTTTATCGTGCCAACATTTCGATCTTTATTGAGATCATCGTCAGGGGATTTATAAATATTGTGTAAATTACGCCCATCTCATTGGGGGGAGGGGGTGATTACACGATATTTGATTAAATGTCAAAAAGGGGGGAAAATTCGAAAGGTAGGTAGAAATGGGGAGTTGGAGTCCGAATGGATCGAAGTCACGATAGCTCAAGTGGTTAGGGCAGCGGTGTATTTAGCCGAAGGTCGTGGGTTCGAATCCCGCTCGTGACACAAGCTTTTTCATTTCAACCAATACCTTACATACTCTTAGATTAACATAACCAGGAAGAGAATGTATTGGAGATTTTTCTTAGAATCCGGGAATTCTTGGTCTGCATCATGAACTGATTATCGTCGCTTTTTTTGCCTTCTATATGTATTTCAGCTTCTCGCCGGATCTGTTACAAATGGATCGGAAACTACAATTTCATCGTTTGAGTAACCAGCCAATATTAGTGATACGATTTCAGCGGGCCAGAAAATGAGTCTCAACGACACTGTTCAACAAAAGCATGTTTTCCCAGTAATACCGTCTGTTCTTTCATGAAGTGTTCTTTAGAAAGTAAAACCGGCCGGGATATTTATCAGCTTCGACATCTTCACCGGTGCCCCTTTGACGGTATTAAGGGTCGATTCTGGCTTTTTGTATCATTGTACAATTTATTATTGCGATCGTCGGTCCGTTTTCGCTTTAAGCTTCTAGTTTTCTTCAACTGTGTGAAATTTTTAGGTTAAACAATTTATTGTACTGTTCCATTACCTTTTTGTCTGTAAGTTCGTAGCATTCCGATAAACATGACTGACGTTTATGCTTGAGAAACCACCAACAAGCCTATACTGAATTTGATAATACAACTTGAAAATAACTTTGTTTAGAAAAAAAAGTATTAACATAATAATTACAGAAAAAAGTATTAACATAATAATTATAGCCTTGACCTTTTTTCTTTCTATCACATTTGGCCTTTTTCAAGCAACTCATCAATGTTATCAAATTTCTTCTTAAGGACTTCATGCTTCCTTCCTTTGATCTGTCAGGCAAGTTCGGCTTTTCGCCATCTTCAAGGTGTACAACCTGACATACCTAAACAACATAGGTTGACGAGAATGATCAGAAACGATCAAGCTACAAACTCATCAATTCCTTTATCATAGAAAATTTCATCTTTTGATTTTAGAATGCGGTCCAGGCTTGTGTGTGTGATTCCTACAAAATTCTTATTAGCTTATCCTAAAATTATATTTAACTGGTCATTGCCTCAAACGGAAACTAATATTCCGAGGTTAGACCAATACAAGCCTGCGTCCCGCAAGGGAGCATTCTGGTCCCATTCTGTATATTATTTATATTACTGACTAACCTATACAATACCGTCATACGCCTAAACGGATAGAACCGCCATTTTGTCGTCTATTTCAAATCAATCATCTTCAAAAATCAAATGAACATCCATGAGTCGCTTGTAAGGCAAAATGATCTTCCTAAAGGCACCTACAAGGATAAATTTTACCCAACACCAATTGAACGACCAATAATCTCTTACAAGGCTAAACTTAACCAAAGGCCAAATGAGCCTCCATTAGTCACTTACAACAAGGACAGAAATTGTCAGAGCCAAATAATACTTTAGTAGACACCCAAGACGATATAGGATCCATTAGTCGCCTATGAGAAGGAAAGACATCACTCAAAGTCAAATTTTCCGGCGTTAGTCACTTATAGATTTTGCTCTAAGCCAATTGATTCAGTAAGCACTTATAGTCAATCACTTATAACGATAGACTTCACCCAAAACCACTAGAACTTCCATTACTCACATTAAATTAGGACAAACAACACCCACTGATATTGGAACCTCCATTAACCAGTTAAGATGGGAGACATAACCCATTAAGGCAAATTATCCTCCAACAGTAGTTACAAGGAAAGACATCTCCAAAAGATATTTATTATTATATATGCTAACCTTCATTAACCATATATAATAAAGACAGATATCCCCCAAATACCAATGAACCACCATTAGTCACTGTTGATAAGTACAGACATCAGTCAAAACCAAATGATTTCCCTAGTCACTACAGGAATAGAAAAATGGCAAAAAGAGGGAAAATTCGAAAGGTTGTGGGTTGAGTGTGGATCGAAGTCACGATAGCTCAAGTGGTTAGCGCAGCGGGGTATTAAGCCGAAGGACGTGGGTTCAAATCCTGCTTGTGACAATGACTTTTTCATCTCAACCAAGACTTCCTATATATATATTACGAAGGGTGGGCGACCAAGACCCGAGGGGTTAAATGCCTGGGTAGAGACTCGTACCCCATCCCTAAAAGGTCCGGGACTTGGTCGGCTCACGTGTATAAACCTCTTGGACCTGTTCACAAACCCCAAGATTTTGGACCATTTTATCTTGGGGAGTGATTTGGCAATGTCCTCTCAATCAAAAGTTTCAAATCTATGCCTGGCATACCTATCACATTCTGCAAGGTAGGCTCGTGTCGTTTCTTCTTTTATTTCACAGAAGCGTCAAAAGGGATCTGGTAGGATACCCATTAGGAAGAGGTGTCTTCTCAAGGGGCAATGACCCATTAGGATACCTATCAGCCTCCTAATTCCCCTCCTTGAGTTAGAGAATAGCCATTTCGAATCTTTTGGTTTGATTTCCTTCACAAACTTCTTCGATTGCCTATGTCTGGGGGACAGATTCCATTCTTTAAGGAATTGTTTCATGCCCCAGCAATTAATATTCTCTTTAGCTGTGCTTATAGAGTGGGGTAATACCGGTTGTGGCCCGACAAACACAGTATTTGAGCCGTCTTTGGCCAGGCTGTCCGCCTCTTCATTGCCATAGTGTCCGTTATGAGCTGGTATCCATATGAGGGTTACTCTATTCTCATACCTGGTAGTAATCCTATTAATAAGTTCAACAGTTTCCTCCACCAGCCTAGATGTTGATAGCTCTTTTTGTAATGACTTAAGACTGGCCTGACTGTCGGAAAAAATTCTAATATCTTTTCCCTTAATCTTGTTATCCATGAGTGTTCTGCAGCAAACATTGATGGCCCAGACCTCCGCCTGAAAGACGGAGGTGTTATTACCAAGAGGGGAGGAGATGCTGATCCCTAATTTAGGCATATGTATTCCAGCACCGCTTCCCTTGTCTTTAATGAGTGAGCCATTGGTAAAACAGTCTAGGCTATGATGTTCATCATCCGCACTATAGTTACATTCACAGGGAGTAACTACCTGAAAGTACTTTTTCCCTAAAGATGTTTTAACCTTTTTATCTCTAACACTTAATAGTTGGTTGTTGACCTTACTCAATAATTGTAGAATTTTTGAGTGACCTATGTTGTTTCCCTTATAGTTCCAACTGCCTTCACTAATTAATCTATAGCAGCTGGTTAGTGCTCTAACCTTAACCTCTATGTGTAGAGGTGTAGTATTGGTTGTTATAACAACCAATACTTTACATAAAAAGAATAATTAATTGAAATAAGTAATTTGGTCAATTAGGCAAGTAAACATAAATGGTGTAAGAATATAATTCACCCAACAATAGAACACCCAATATTCACTTCTAATAAGGACAGACCTCGTACAAAGCCAAATGAGATCCTCTGTTTGCCACTTACAAGTACCTATATATTTCACCTAAGACCAAACTATTCTCTAATATTGAGTTAAAAGAAGAGACATCACCCACAAAGATATGAAAAAAATCCACATTACTCACTTATAAGCGGACATTCTCAAAGATAGTATGGGTAGTAATAGCCAACCATGAGGAGAGGTATCACCCAAAACCAACTTAACCTCTATTGCCTGCATTTAATAAGGACAGACATCTAAAGATATGTGAACCTTCAACATTCCCAATAACCAAATGAACGTCCATTAGTCACTTATAATATAACTATAATATGTTTGTTCCACACAAGCACTTGCACTCATTGCATTTCTTTAATGTCACCTCAACATTGCTTTTGTTAACGTGTCCAAGCACACCCGAAGACCCTCCATATCGCCTTAAACAACAATGTCCCTGAGACCTCCCCACTTATTAATCCTTAATATTGAGTACCAATCTTTGGCTGGTTTATCATATGCCCTCCGGGTGCATTGTTTGCCATAGGGTCATTACCATGTCATTAGCTACAAATAAATTAATATTTTATAAAAATGGTGATTTAAACAAAAAATCTGTTCATTTGTGCTTAAGGAGAAAAACTACATTCATCTCCTGCAGGAAAGAGGAGAATATGGGAGCCTCCATCGTGGGAGGAGTCCGTCGAGGAGGAGCCGATGCAAGCGTTCCACCGAGGAAAGCCACCCGAATATTCGCCGTTCGTCACAGTGACCGTCATCGCTGTCATCGCGTGCATCGCAATTGTCGTCCTATTAGCCCTTCTGTTCGCAACGCTCCAAGTGAGATGAGGTAAGAGAAAAACAATTCAAAATGTACGAATTTTACAATCTGGTTCTTTCCAGATCCGGTCACCGAAGTCATACGGAGCTGGTTCACCAACACCGCTGCATAAATGGCGAATGACCAAATCAATTTTTTGGGAACCAGTTTTGTTATGATTCAGTCCTGTCTCAACCAGTAAGTGGCCTTCTGATGTGTTCACCAAAAGGAGGACGCAGTTTGTTTTATTTTTTTCTATATAATATACTATAGGTGTGTTAAATGTACTACCCAAAAATGTTGATATCCTTGTTTATGAATCTTAAAAACTAGGATATGTCCATGTGATTGAAAATATATGTAATATTGAAAGAAAAGTGTTCTGATTTTGTAAATAGCTCTTGTCAGAATGTTTTTGCAGGGACTTTTGTATTTGTAAATGTTAAAACCGTTTAAGACACCAAAGTCGAAGTCTTTGAGAGCTTTTAAAACATTTCTTACACTTGATACTGATTTAGGTTAAAGACTATTTTCAATTCCATTTTCAATGAGGCATTAAATGATAATTTGTGATTGTACATATTGAATGTTGTTATTGTGAATTTTGGCACAAGAAGCTCAACAAATTGGACACTTAAAATTAATATTGATTTTTTGAACAGTGTTAAGTGTCTCTTGATCGAAATAAACTCAAAAAGTCTGTATAGTTCAGAAGAGTAAAATAAATCGATTATTTTGTATTTCCCGGTCAATAAATAAAATCAGTCAAACAAATTCTTATTGCACTTAACATAAAATGCTTTAAATGTGTTTAAATTTAAATTTTTAATCTCGATTGATGAAAGACTGAATTGCAGTAGCCATAAAATGTTTCATCAACATTAATTTCTCAAATATATTTTGTAATTCCGTTTAGACATAAATTTAAAACAAAACTACTGAAACGGCCTACTGCAATATAAAAAAACTGGTCGCGTGTTCAAGAACAAAACAAAAAACACGCTCATTTAATGAATTTATGTATCTGCTTAAGAGTAAGTGGTGTAACGTATATTATTATTGTAGTATGGGCAAAAATATTTTGGAGTCTGCAGCAGATCGAAGTTGTGTTGAATCAGTGTGCGAGTTCGAGCGCTAGCTGAATTTTGTAAATAGTGTCATGTTGATTATGTTGTTCACGATTATTGTAAAAAAATCTGTTTATAAATAAAATTGTTCATAAGTCCAGTAGTTGTATTTTTCCCTTCATTGCCCCTTTGTTCATATAACAAGATCATATTTGGATTGAAGTAATTGATACATTCAATTATATTCAAGAATTGATAATTCATAATTTTTTTATAATAATAACAATAGACTAGCAATATACAAAAGTGAGTAGTTTCATTTTTGGAAACGTATAAAATCTAATCCAATACAAAGGTGAAGGGTAAAAATATTTAAAATAGCATTTCATTCCATAGGAGTTTTTTGGCCGAAGAAAAATGGACCCTATACACAAAATAAATCTGAATAAGATAAACAAATCCCCATTAGTCACTTCCAATAATGAAAACATCATTCAAAAGTAAATGAACCCCCACAAATATTTTATAAGGACAAGCTTAACGAAAGGCCAATTGAACCTACGTAAGTCATTTATAAGGACAAACATTACTCAAAGCCTACCAAGCTTCTTTAAGCCGTTTTAGGAGAGATTTCACCCAACATTGCACATCCATTAGTCGCTTATGATAAATTCAGTCATCATCAAACCTGGGACTCCATTATACCCTTATGAGGATAGACTTCACCCAAAGCTAAATAATCCACCAGAAGTGACTTATAATACTCATCACCGAGGGCCTCACCCTCCATTGTTCACTTATAAGGATAGGCTTCACCCAAGGGCAATAGAACATCCACATCACTTATAAAGATAGACTTCACCCAAGAATAAGTAAGCCATCTGTAGGGACTTATAAGGATAGACTTCACCCAAGAATAAGAAAGCCACCTGTAGTGACTTATAAGGATAAATTTTACCCAAGAGTAAGTAAGCCACCTGTAGTTATTTATAAGGATAGACTCCACACAAGGCCAAATAAGCCACTAGTAGTGACTTATAAGGATAGACTTCATCCAAGAATAAGTCAGCCACTGAAGACAGCTAGAACATTTGTTATTCAATTATAATAAGGACAGAATTCACCTGAGACCAAATGAACCTCCATTTCTTTATAAGGATGGAGCTGCTGAGATTAATTAGTGAAGGCAGCTGGAACCATAAGGGAAACAACATAGGTCACTCGAAAATTCTACAATTATTGAGTAAGGTCAACAACCAATTATTAAGCATTAGCGATAAAAAGGTTTAAACACCTTTAGGGAAAAAGCACTTTCAGGTAGTTACTCCCTGTGATTATAACTAAAGTGCGGATGATGACCATCGTAGCCTAGACTTCTTCACCGATGCCTCACTCATTAAGGACAACGGAAGCGGTGCTGGAATACATATACCTAAATTAGGGATCAGCATTTCCTCCCCTCTTGGTAATAACACCTCAGTCTTTCAGGTGGAGGCTGTGCCATCAATGTTTGCTGCAGAACACTCATGGATAACAAGATTAAGGGAAAAGATATTAGAATTTTTTCCGACAGTCAGGCCAGTCTTAAGTCATTACAAAAAGAGCTATCAACATCTAGGATGGTGGAGGAAACTGTTGAACTTATTAATAGGATTACTACCAGGTATGAGAATAGAGTAACCCTCATACGGATACCAGCTCATAAGGGACACTATGGCAATGAAGAGGCGGACAGCCTGGCCAAAGAAGGCTCAAATACTGCGTTTGTCGGGCAACAACCGGTATTACCCCACTCTATAAGCACAGCGAAAGAGAATATTAATTGCTGGGGCATGAAACAATTCCTTAAAAAATGGATTCTGTCCCCCGGACATAGGCAATCGAAAGAGTTTGTGAAGGAAATCAATCAAGGAGGGGCTGATAGGTATTCCATTGCCCCTTGAGCAGACACCTCTTCATAATGGGTATTCTACCAGACCCCTTTTGCCGCTTCTGTGAATAAAAGAAGAAACGGCTCGACACTACCTCGCAGAATGTGATAGGTATGCCAGGGATAAATTTGAAACTTTTGAAGGAGAGAACATTGCCAAATCACTCCCCAAGATAAAATGGTCCAAAATCTTGGGGTTTGTGAACAGGTCCAAGAGGTTTATACACGTGGGCCGACCAAGTCCCGGACCTTTTAGGGTTTGGGGTACGAGTCTACCTAGGCATTTAACCTCGGGTCTTGGTCGCCCACCCTGCGTAATATATATATTATAAGGATGGACTTCATCCATGCCCAAATATTATTAGCAGACAGTCAGAGATCACCCAAAACCAGTTTAGCCTCCAATATTTACTTATAAGGATAGAATTCGCCCAAGACTATGCCACCCGTAGTAACTTACAAGGATAGACTTCCCCCAAGGCTAAATATGTCACCACTAATGATTTATAAAGATAGACTTCACCCAAGAGTAAGTAAGCCATCTGTAGTGACGTATGAGGATAGACTTCATCCAAGGCTAAATAAGCCAACAGTAGTGACTTTAGTGACTTATATGTATAGTCTTCACCGAAGGCTAAATAAGCCACCAGTAGTGGATAGAATTTACCCAAGGATAAATAAGCCAGAAGTAACTTACAATGGCTACATGTCACCCAAGGCACATGAGCCTCTATTGTTCATTGATAAGAATAGACTTCACCCAATTCCAAATGAGCCACCATCATTCTCTTATACAGATAAACTTCACCCAATGCCAATAGAACATTCGTAAGTTACTTGTTCTCTAATAGAGAAGTAAAAGGACAGACAAAATGAAACCCCTGATTCATTTATATGCACAGACATACACTTTATCCAAAGATCAGTGTTATCTGTTTCACTCTCCCAGTTTTTTTGGCGTGGTCTGTCGGTATAGGGTCTCCCTACCAAAGTGCGGAGATGGGGAAAGAAAGACCTCCATTAGTATCATATGGTAAGGACATATATCACCCAAAGACGAATGAAACTAAATTAGTCACTTATAATAAAGAAAGACTTCACCCAAAGCCATAAATATCTCAATTAGCCACTTATAAAGACAATACTCAAAACAAATTGCACAACCCAAAGAATAGTGTTATAATAAGAGTTGGATTTATTTACATCTATTTAGAAAAAAGTGGTATATATTTGTTTTTTACAAGCATTCTCATTTGTTATATTGTCGATTGCTTTAAGAGACATTGCAAGCAAGATGAAAAAATATTCTATAAGTAAACTACTGGTCAGCAATGATTATCGAGAGAGCCAAACTGAAACTTATAAAGACAGACTTCACCTGAAACCAAATGAACGTCCATTATTTAGAGATCAAATAATTAATCAATCATAGCTGTTTAAAGATTCTTACAAAATAAAAGAAAATCAAAACAGAAATAATTATCTCGAAAAATGATTAACTGAACAAGTGGACCATTAAAAAAAATCATTTAATACTTTTCAAATTTTATTTAACAACATTTTCAGCCATTTTTGCAAAGTCTAGAAACCTATATTGAAATATTTACAAAATGAATTGACACAAGTAAGCATTAATTACATATTCATGAAATATAAAATAAATACAAATTAGGCAATATAACTAGTTATTACTTAAAATGTCAACTGATCTGGAAAATTCAAATTTCACAATATAAAGTACATTCATCCTTGGTATTTTAATTAGTTACCAAAAAAAAGTTTTATTAGTGCACTCAATATTTTGAGTGGTAATTGGTAAAAAACTAAGGGAGTGTACTTGTACACCACAATAATAAATCCAATTTTGTAAAATTAGTTTCAAATATTTTAATCTATGTGGGTGTGTCCCATCTGCTTCTCTTAGCTCTTCTTTCCTTCAGAGGTCCCTTCACTGCCGGGGCCTTGGGCGCGCCTTCTGGGTTGTCTCGAGTCTGTTCCCAAGTATGATCCTCAGACGCAGTAAACTGTTTATTAAATAACAAAAGAAGAGTTAAGAAATTTCTATGGAATTTATTTAAAAAAAAAAAAATCAAAAGACATTACCTGACTTTGATACTGTGCCCTAAAAGCGGCTTTCATAGCGGATAACCTATCCATAACTGGCCCCCTTGAACTTTTAGACACAACTTCAGAAATGCTCACTGATGGGCGGGAATTCTTTATGTAAAATATATATATATTTGTTAGTTTTTTTGTTGTTTTTTTAAATTGGCATAATAACCACAACCACTTACGGTTTGCCCTTCTACACAGCCCAAACCAGGTCGTTCTCTAAATCCTAAGCCAGCTCCTCCGACATTCATTGATTTTCCTTTGCCAGTCTTAAACCTTGATTTTCTGAACCATGAGCTCTACAAAAAAAAATAAAAAATAAAATAAAATAAAAAAATTTGTAAAACGATCAATTCAATAATTTAAAAAGTTTATTCGGTGATCGTGAGATGCGGTCTGGTGTGACATAGGTTTTAGAAAAGCATTTTCTTTATCGTGCCAACGTTTCGATCTTTATTTGAGATCATCTTCAGGGCTCAAAGTGTTTGTTTTCTGTGTAGATGTGTCATTCTTGTCTGTCGTGTTGAGAGTGTCCTGTGAGTTCTAAAACCTACGTCACACCAGACCGCATTTCACGATCCCCGAATAATCATTGACTAACGGTCACTAAGCACCACGCAAAATTAAAAAAGTGTTAAACCTGGAGGGCTAGGTCGAGAAGCGGTTGCGGAACGTCTTGGTTGGCTCCTTCCAAATTTCTCACAAGGTGCCCTGCAAATTCTTTGTCGCCAGACGTCACTAAAGAATAAGCGCTGCCCTTTTGCCCTGCTCTTCCAGTTCTACCAATTCTATGGGTGTGCGTGTCTATGTCTCTAGCGAGGTCGTAATTTATCACAGTCCGTATGTGTGGAATGTCCAAACCACGGGCTAGAATAATAAAAATATAACCCTTTAAAACTATTCTGTGCAATTCGAGAATTGACTCACCAGCGACGTCAGTCGCGACAAGTATATCAACATCTTTTTTCTTAAATGCGGTTATTACACGATTTCTCTCAATTTGATCCATATCACCGTGCAACAGGAGAGTGTCAATTTCTTTCAGTTTGAGCTGGGTTGACAATTCTTCTGCATTAATCTGAAAATTTTTTACACAATTTTATAGTTACGAGACCTTTTTTATGCTTATTAAAGTACAATAATACATACCTTCTTTGTTACAAAAATAAGAATCGATCCTGTTGACTGAAAATCGACAAGGTGTGCTAGGAGCCAAGGAAACTTGTTCGATTGGAGCATAACGAGAACATGTTGGGTAACATCTTCGTTTGCTTCCCCACCAGCATCACCGTGAACGATTCGTACAGGATCGGTAAGCACATCTCTGGCGAGTTTCTCCACTTTTCTTTTAAAAGTCGCCGAAAACAACAGTGTTTGTCTATCCGGCCTAACATGATTGCAGATCGACCTTACTTGAGGTTCTTTAAAAAATAAATAAATAAAACAATAATTTAAAAAAAATTATATAAAATATTTGCGTTAAAACAAAATCGTACCAAAGCCCATATCGAACATACGGTCCGCTTCGTCCAAAACTAAGAACGTGACCCTTTGCAGATTTGTTACTTTCATCTTGACCAGATCAATCATCCTTCCAGGTGTAGCGACAACAATTTCGGCACCTTCTTCTAAGGCTTTTGATTGTTCCCATTTTGACCCTCCTCCGTATGCACACACCACATTGATGTTGTAAACTTTCCCAAACCTCTTAGCTTCTGTGTAAATCTTAACATCTCGTTTTGAGTTAAACTCTGCCTTTTCAGCATTTCATTTTTGTTTTTGTTTTTCAGTTTTTAAATACCTGTTGGGAAAGTTCTCTAGTGGGGGCTAAGATCAATCCGATCGGGCCGTCGCCCACACCTATCTCCTTCTGATCCATGATGTGGACAAGAAGGGGCCAGATAAATGCAGCTGTTTTACCGCTTCCAGTTTTTGCAATACCTATAATTGTGATTTGATAAGACAAATTTGAAACTCGCACAAAATAAAAATATATACCGATAATATCCCTTCCAGAAAGGGAAGCAGGTACTGCTTGAGTTTGAATCGGAGTCGGTTGAGTATATTCAGACTTTCGAATGGCTTTCATAAGGGCATCATCAAACCTAAAGAAATACAATTATCATTTGAATTTTTTGTTCCAGGTGAATCAGAATATTTTGATATATCACTTTTACTTACCCAAAATGTCCAAAACTTGTGACTGGGTTCGGTGGATGTGGACCAGAAACTCGAATTCCAAGGGTGTTCCTCAGTTCAGCTACCTTTTCAGCGTCCAACTTTGTAATGTCTTCGTGTTCCAAATAAAAGTTCTTCACAAAATCCTCATATTTAATCGTCGAATGGTCAATCGGTGGTAACGGGTCGATGATCTGAGGGACAACAGTATTGATCAATTGTACAAATTTTCAATATTTTCGTTTAAAACCTTCGATTTTTTGGGCGCAATTGGATTTCCGTCTTCATCATACTCTATTTCCACATCAGATTCATCATCTTGAAGGCCTGCTCTTGGATTCTCTTCCATATACCTGGAAAGTAATGTTAAAATAAAGACATATATGTTTTGACTAAAAAATTTGTACGAACCTATAATATGACTCCTCGACATCTTCTTCTTCTATGTCATCCCTGATACCTTTATTTTTATCAGCTTCAGTTGGAACGGTTGCTTTCGAACCCAGTTTCTGCACCTTAATAAAGAAAACAAAATCAATTTTTGCTTTTTTTTTTCTTAAATTTTCAATGCCTAACCTGATTTTCAATTCCAGCCATGTACGCATCCAATGGGTCTTCCTCGTCTGAATCTGACTGCTGCTGCCCCGTGGGGCTGCCAGGTGCTGGAATATAGACAAGTTTTGGTGTCTCATCCTCCTCATCAAAGTACCTAACATAACACAAGGTAATATTAGAACTGCATGGTACTTTAAAATACTCATTTTTCTATAAACACAACGATGTGATTCATTCTGATCATGTGTGCAATACATACTAAAGCACTACTAAACAAAGCGATGAGATTGCCATTTACACGTATATTAAGAGGAATATTGTGGCAGACCTTTTCAACAACCACCTTTATTTTGGAATATGGGAATAAGCACATATAATTAGCTCGTCATCACCAATGTCTTGGGGGAAGCAAAAAAACCTAAAGTTGAGTCGCCTCAGTTTAATAGAAAAGTGGTGTGAAAACATGGGCGTGAGAGTCAACCCGAACAAAACACACCAATACCTTTCACAAAGAGAAGGAAGCTTAATCTAAAAGCACCCTCTTTAAAAGATAAAATCTTTCTCCAGGAAAATGCAGTACCTTGGAATAGTAATAATACTAGAAAAAAAGCTTACCTGCAAGACAAAGCAATCGACAAGCAGCCAAAGATTTTTACAAACGAAAAAAAAAAATGTGCTACCTAAATACAACAATGTTCAGACCTTTGGTCATACTTGGATCCCTAGTTTGGTGTCCAAATGCCCTATTTTGGCAATGGAAGTGTCACTGGGGATTGACACTGTTGCATACATCCCGCAATTGGTGCAAACATAATGAACTTGTAGTGATCACTTTGTAAATAATATTGACCTAGATGTGAAACAGTGGGAAGGTGAAATGCATCTGACAGACCAAAATGATCAGAAATGACAAACCTACAGGTTCATCTTGCATCACATCCAAAGTGGAAACGTCAGAAAATAGAAACGTAAATGTAACTGTTGTTTGGTTGTCCAGATCATTCTGGCCAGATTATCCTCATTGGCTTTGTCTGTCAAAATTCTAATTGTAAGAATGACGCAGAACACACCTGACAGAACAAAATAGTATAAATAGGCAGACCAAAACGATCAGAAATGACAAACCTTCAGGTCTATCATGCATCAGACCCAAACAGGAATCTCAGAAAATAGAAATTTCGGATGTAACTATGGTTTGGTTTTCACCGATCATTCTGGCCACCTTATCCTCACTGGCTTTGCTGTCAAAATTCCAATTGTATGATAGAAAAAAAGTGGTGTCAGTGGTGACAACAGTTTTGGCGGTGACAAGGCGCTCATCACTGTATGATAAAGGTGCTGGGTTCAAATCTAGCAGCCCTGCATTCAAACCCGACATACTTACAAATGAGCTTCTTTTTTTCTTTTTTCCAAAAATAACCAGCACCCCTATAAAACCTTGTAGTTGAAATATTAGAATAAAAATAGCCCCATAATAAATAATTTAAAAAACGGAAGAAAAAAATTAGAACATCTGACAGAGAAAAATAGCAGAGATAAGTAGATGAAATAAATCAGAAACGACAAAACTATAGGTTCATCACGCATCAGACCCATAAAGGAATCTCAGGAAATAGAAATTTTGGATTTGTCATTTGGTTGTCTCTGATCATTCCGGTCATATTATCCTCGCTAGTTTTGCCTGTCAAAATTCTGGACAAAAGGTTTAATGCATCTGGCAAAATGATCAAAAATGACCAAACTACTGGTATATCACACATCAGTCACAACAAGGAATCTCAGAAAATAAAAATTTTAGATGTAACTATGATTTAAAATTCAAATCATAAGAAGGAAAAAAGTAGAACTCATATGCAGAATGCATCTGACAGAGCAAAATGACAAAGATAGGCAGGCCACAATGATCAGAAACGACCTAACTACCGGGTTCACCACACATCAAACACAACAATGGATCTCAGAAAATAGCAATTTTGGATCCAACCATTGCATCTGTCAGAAAGAAACAGCAGAAATAGGCAGACCAAAATGATCTGAAATGACCAAACTACCGGTATATCACATATCAGACACAACAAGGGAACTCAGAAAATAGAAATTTTGGATGTAACTGTGGTTTGGTTGGGCATCTGTGGTTGTAGCAGTTTAGGCGTTGGCATGGCGGTCATCACTGTAAGGTAAAGGTACCGGTTCAAATCTATCAGCCCTTAATTCCCCGAAATACTTACAAATGAACTTTTTTTTTAAACTGGCACCCTGAGGGTTCATAACATCATAGTTGCAATACCCTTGTTTTAAAAAAATAAATAAATAAAATATTTTTAAAAAATGCAGAACGCATCTGACAGAACAAAACAGAGGAAATAGGCAGGTCAAAATGATCAGAAATGACCAAACTGCCAGTACATCACATACCAGATACAACAAGGAATCTCAGAAAATAGAAATTTCGGATGTAATTGTTGGTTGGGTATATGTAACTGGTGGTCAAAACAGTTTAAGCAATGACATGGTGGTCATCACTGTAAGGAAAAGTACAGGGTTCAAATCTCAATAGGATCAACATACTTACAAATAGACTTTTTTTAATTGGCACTCTGAGGGTTCATAACCACATAGTTGAAATACCCCAGTTTAATTTTTTTTAAACATCCATTTGTAAGTATACTGGGTAGAATTAAGGGCTGATAGATTTCAGCCCGTTACCTTTATCTTACAGTGATTAGCGCCATGTCAATGCCTAAATTGTTGTGACCACCGACACCCAACCAAACCACAGTTACATCTAAAATTTATATTTTCTATTCTATTATCAGAAATGACAAACCTACATGTTCTTCATGCATCAGACCTAAAGAGGAATCACCAAGAAAAGAAATTTTGGATCTAACCAACGCATCTGTCAGACCAAAACAGCATAGATAGGCAGACCAAAATCATCAGTAACGGCCAAAATACAGGATTATCATGCATCGGACCCAATGAGGAAATCCCAGAAAATAGAAATGTCGATATAACTAGTTTGGCTACCTCTGATATTTCGGATTAACTTCGCTGGTTTTTTCTGTCAAAACATTGGAAAAGGATAGGAAGATCAGGATGATCATATTGCAATATAGAAAAAAAAATGTAAACTCTCTGATTTTGTGAAACCAAAGTAAATCTACTGCTGAATGTCATGTTTGTTCTGCTACTTTCTCTTTTTTTCCACTTCTTTATACTGTCACTTTTTATAAATGACGGTTCAGATTTTATGTTTACAACTACCTGGATTTCAAGTTTTAAATGCTTACCGTTAGTTCAATTAATTATTCTTTTTATGTAAGGTCTTGGTTGAGATGAAAACCCACAATCTTCGGCTCAGTACACCACTGCTCTAACCACTTGAGGTATCGTGACTTCGATCCACTCAGACACCAACTCCTCAACTCTCTCAGCCGAAGGTCGTGGGTTGGAATCCCGCTCGTGACGCTAAACTCTTTCATCTCAACCAAGACCATACTTAAAAATAATAATTAATTGAAACAATTAATATGGCCGATTAGACCACTAAACATAAATGGGCTCATAATTAAGTTGAAGAAGCACGACAGGAATTGTAAGAGCGTACACACTGACCCATGCCAACACGACGTTCCAATGAGAAGCTGGTTTTTAATGCCATTCAATTTTGTCGGGTTGTTTAATGCTTGAAATCCGAATGGTTGTACATAACAAATCTGTGAGTAGAACCAACATTTACAAAAATTCAATTTACATACTCATCTCACCTTCATCATTTCTATATCTTTATTGTTTTGTAAATATAATTTATAAGTTTTCTGATGTCTGCTGTGCAAGAAATAAAAATACTACGTTTTGTTTTCAAGGGTGATTAATAATAATATATTTATGTGCTTACTCTTCTTCAGTCTTTGACCTCTTCTTTGGTAGGCCCCAGGAGGCGGAGAGCGCGTTTTCTGTTATGGACGTCATCGTCGAATAGCCCTGCTTGCTGAGGGCCGCCGTCGGAGGCGGAGGCAGTGCCGCCGCCCTCTCGGCTTTGCTCATCAGCTGGAAGCCGAATTTGGGCTTCTCGTCGCCGCCCCTCTGGTAACTCATTTCATTTATCGGAATCGCCCTTTTTCCGATTCTATTGACATCAGTCCGAATACTTGGGACCCGGCACGGCGTTTGTCCAAAATGGAATCACACCGGACCTGCCTTCGAGGAGAAATTCTTTTCAAATAGGCCGGAGGAAGCGAAAATACACGGTTTATTTGTCGAGGATGGATAAACAAAATAATAACATGAGAAGTAAACACTAACAGCTCAAAGTAAAAGCAACCTTTATACGGAAGGTTAACAATTCATATGAACCGTCGAAAACTATACAAAACTGACTTGAATATCTATAAATAAAATTTCATTCTCACACCCCCCTACTCATAACGTTTTTTAACATAGAAAAAAATATTTTTTTAAAAACCAACAAAACAACTTTAGAATAAGCATTTATAAAATGCCGTAGCGGGCTTCAACAATCAATTGGCGCTTCTTTTCAAAACGAGACGCTAAGGAAAGTCCCAGTTTTAAGAGTTAGAAAGTTTTTAATCACTAACCAAATACTTTATTTATTTATTTGTTTAATGGGCAGCCACACTTGTTTTAATGTAAACAAGTAATAATTTACAATGTAAACTAATATTTACATCAGTGGGTTTTGTCAATCTACCTTTCAAAATGAGCCTTTTTGTGACTTTTGATAGTTCGTTAGTTTCAGAATGTATTTCTACATATTTTGACCAATTTTGGACCCAATTGGTACATGAGATCAAGTTAAAATAGTCGAATACCTCCTTCCCCGTCTTGCAACTCGCCCCTTAACCAGTAGGTTAAACTCGAAAAACCGGTAAAATGCGTACTTTTTCAAAAATTCTTTGGACTTATGATATTTGTTTAGTTTTAAAATGTATTTCTACATATTTTGACCAATTTTGGACTCGATTGGTAATGACATCAAGTGAAAATAGTCGAATACATCCATTCCCCAACTTGCAACTCGCTCCTCAACCGGTAGGCGAAATTCGAAAAACCAGTAAAAATACTTACTTTACTAATGAAAGTTCTAGTTTGTTAAATCACTCAAACAATAAAGTTGAAAGCAGAAAATTCTGCTAGAAAAAATTAAATATTTCCACTTTTCCATGAGTTTTTCTTGGAAAATAAACTGATCATTTGCAAATAATGCAAGAAGGCTTGGGGCAAGAGTGATCGGCCCTGGAACTAAACAATTTATTTAACGGGCAGCAACATTTTTTCATGTAAAAAAGTAACAAATTATAATGTAAACTTGTTAACGTTTTAATCAACTTTTTTACACCAATTGGTTTTATCAAGGTTGGAAACAGAAAGTTTACTATAAAAAAACTAAATATTTCCTATTTTCCATGGATTTTTCCTGGAAAATAAGCTAATCATTTATAAAGAATGCACGAAGCCCAGGGGAAGGAGTGATTTGTCCTGGAACCAAATAATTTATTTATTTATTTAATGGGCAGCCACACTTTTTATGTAAAAAAGTAACAGATTACAATGTAAACTAATATTTACATCAATTGGTTTTATCAAGGTTGAAATAGAAAGTTTACTATAAAAAACTAAATAATTCCTATTTTCCATGGATTTTTCCTGGAAAAAAAGCTGATCATTTATAAAGAATGCAAGAAGGCACAGGGGCAGGAGTGATCAGCCCTGGAATCAAATTATTCATTTACTTATTTATTTAACAGACAGCCTTTTTTATGTAAAACAGTAACAGTTTACAATGTTAACTAATATTGACATCAATTGAAGTAACAAAAGTTCTAGTTTGTTACCCAAATAAAGATCAAAACGTCGGCAAAAAATGAAAAAGGTATTTTTCTAAACTACCTCATTCCCGACCACCCCTTATAACCAACAAATTATAAAACAAGTCACTAAGAAACACACTTTAACATTATAATTTTTTACAAAAATTCAATGGATTGGTGAATTTGAAAGAATCACTCCGACCCTTCAACAATTGAAATGTAGAATGTATGGGTGGGAGATCTAGTCTACTCTACTAAGACAAACTAATAAATTCATTATCGTTAAAACCATAATTTTTAATATTGGAAGTAGAAGTTCATCTGGACAGAAGGCTATTCTGGAAGTACTACATAAATAAAAAGGTGGTCGAAGGATCTGCTAGTCTGAGTATGTATGTTCTATTACAAACCGCAAACCCAAAATAAGGACCAAACTAATTTATATCTCTATAATAATTTATAAATCTATCATAAGGCCCCTGGTCCTTTCTAGGTGCGAAATATGAACAGCAGCGTCTTCATCCAAAATAAAGTGGCTGCAAGTATTACAAAATAAAATATTGTGAATGGCAATAAGTGCCTAGTGGTACGTGAAGAACAACCAGATACACAAACTTCCAACCCCACAAGAAACAATTCACAGGAGATTCAACAAGTTCCATTCCGGACTTAGTAAAGTAAAATGTGCTGTCCTGTTCAAACTAGGAGGAAAAAAGGCAATACATCTGAAGCCACATATTCTACAAGACATTATTGTGATAAAGCCAAGTGGTCAATCTAATGTCTAAATTGTTAAATGTGAAATATTTCATACATGCACTAATGTAAAACTCTTTGCATGTAGTTGGGCTAGTGATTTTAATTTTTAAAAATTGATTGTTTAAAGCTTTTATTTTTTATCCGTGTAAATCATTAAAAATAGTTTCAAAGTCTTGATGTAGGTAAGGTATGTATTCCTCAAAAGATTGACAAAGAAACGGTGCTTTTTATTTTATTTCATTATTTNTTTTTTTTTTAATTACCCTTATCCCTGTTTTGTACATACAATTAAGGGAGACTCATGATAATCACTAGAAGAGCTTTACACACACAAAATAAGGAAAGGACTATGTTTTTATCTTATTATACTAGTTGTAATATTATATTAGTATATCATTATACTAAGTATTTTCAACTATACAACAGTTTCCTTCACAAAATATACACTAGATATTTAAGGACAATAATAAAACTATATTGACATTGTGATTTTTTACTATAAAATCAAATCAAACAGTTGTCTCAATTATTTTTAAAGTACTTCTCTTCCTCCTTCAATTCTAAAATCTCCTCGCTCACCTTCCACATTTGTTCTCCTAGTAATAAATTATCCGCTTGTCTGTGTTTACACCTTGACACCTATAAACCAATAATTATTATACTGAGCATAATAAATAACCAAGGATATTTCATACTTACTCTACAGTTTCGGAAGTATTGCCCAGTAACTGTCTGTAATTTTGGATCAAGCGCTACAGTCAGTATGGTCGCTGCTCCGTCCACAGGATCCTAATCAAATAAATAAACATAATTTTTGTTCATTTTTACTAATTTATGAACATACCTTCCCGTAAGTTTTTTCGATATTTTTCAGAATAAACCTTACAAACTCGATTTTTAATCTCTTCCAATGTGGAGCATTGATAAAACCTGGGTTTACAGTGTTTACCGTGATTCCTAAAAAATAATTAAACATAGAAATAGAATAATAAGTAATTAATGAATAGAACTCACCAGTATTTTTAAGTTTATGAGCGAGATAGTTTGCTGTGATAATATTAGCCAAATGAGTGTTGCAGAGAATTTTCCACGGGCAGTTTGATGTCTCATACTCTGTTTTGCTGAAATTGACTTTACCAAAATGATGACAACTCGAATTGACAAATATAATTTTTCCTGATCCACTTTCTTTCATTTTTCCTGCGCAAGATAACAATGAGCATTTTTGCATTTCTTCACTGGCTGGTTAAGTTCACCTAATAACAAATTGATGAGTAGAACTGATGAGAATTGGTTCACTTGCCAGCATAGTTGGAGATTATCGTCTGTCTTTATGTTTTCTATGATACCGATGCCAGCATTTAAAATAAGCATGTCTACCCTCTTCTCCCCTTCAGTTATTTCTTGTGCAAACTGCCTTACGCTCCACATTGAACTGAGGTCTATCCTTTTCACCTCAACATCGTCATTTCTTGTTTCTTTAATTATCTTGGCTAAAATTATAAATAGTCAATATCAAATTGATACCTGTCTATACTAATATCACCTTTAGCTAAATGAGCACTTCCAACATTCTTGCAGGCTAAGATAACCCTAGCACCACGGTAAGAAAGTTCTTTAGCAGCCTCAAAACCAATTCCTTAGGCACAATGTTTATAGACAGACAAGTAAAAAGAAAACCAAATTTGCGATACGTTTTCCACACATACATTAATAAAATACCTGTATTCGATCCAGTTATTATAACAGTTTTTCCATCAAGTCGACTATTGACTTCAAGCTTCCTGATTGATTTTTTCAAATAGAATTTCAACAATACAAAAGGAATTACAACCAACAAGAACCATACATTAAACAAAGTGTAGCGGAAAAATATAACGAATGCTTTCACTAATACACCCATTTTTTGCTATTTTAATTGGTCAAGTGTTGACAAAAATGTTAACATTCAGAAATATGCACCACTTTTGAATGAATGAGAATGAATAGTGTGAATAGCGATTATTGGGACAATCGGCTTAAAGGAAATGGAAGAAGACTATGCATAAAATTGAACAACAATACCATTGTTTGTTAATATTTTGACTGGTAATTACTTTTCTTCAAAACATAAGAATTGCTTCAACTTTATATATCCGTTAAACTGTTCTAACAATCTCGAAAATAATTTTAAAATGTTAAATGTTTCTAACATATTACATAGTTAGAGCCAGAATTATTAACTAGAATTTTTCAGAAAAGTGTTGCAATGTTCTTTTGTTTTGTTTTTAAACAAAAATTGTTTATGGGAGTTACCTATTTAGAATATTATTAATTTTGCAGATTAAATGTTTTTTGGTTTATATCTAATGTAACATAACCAAAACATCATGGGTTCGAATCTCAGCTGAGTATTCGAAACCAACATATTCCTAAATGCCGGTTTATACAACTTCTGCTGTTTCAAACCCCCTTTTTTTTTTTTAATAAAAACCTAGAAGTTATGATTTAGAAGATGGTGAAAATTGTTTCGACCTAAAATGCTTTACAGTTAAAGATTAAAGTTAAATAAAAGCATTTTTTAAATTTAATCATACAAGATATGGTATAAGTAATAAATTATGATTAAGCAATTTTAATGATTTGCCATTTACACCCTTTTGTAATTTATTTAATACCCTCGATTCTTTTATTTGTGACAGGTGCACCTTTTCAGTTGAATACTTAAGTCTGTTATTCTCTGATCTTTCAGTTCCAGCATTGCTTCTAGATGAGACACCTGGATTTTTTATTGCAATCAATCCATTTTCAGCCTATTTTGCTCATTGTTTTAACTTTTTTTAAATTCATCATTTGTTACCTTTGCTTGCAGTGTGGCAGCCTCTTCTTTCTTCTCCATTAGCTCCTGCAGGACAAGGCTGTGTTCTTCATAAGGAACTGTGGATGTAATATGCAGTTCTACTATTCTTGTACCACCCAATATTTCTAATAAAATATGCTTTTTTGCTCAGCTATAAAAGCTCTTTTCGACAACTTAATATCGTACCTTCAGTAATTGTGATATTGCTTTGGTCGCTTTCGGTGACTTTCTTCAAACGGTCTATTTCGTCCAGTTTTTCCTTCACAGCAAGAAGAATGTCTTCGATAAACTGTTTGTTTGCGGATGCGGCTTCTTGGAGAGTCGTCATCTGTTGCGGAAGTCCAATTTTGGTTAAAACCTAAAACAATTAAAAACAGTACTACTAAAATGAAAATTATTAACATGTAATTTTTTTAATTAATTTTGTTATTAAAACTGTGAAATCTGTGATTTATTGAAACTACTCATGTTGAGTTACATTTAATGTGTTGCTTTTAATGAAGCCAAATCACTTACAAGAGCCAAACACATCTGAGCAATAGTTATAAATGAACTGTGTTATATTAGAATAGAAGGTAAGTTGAGAAGGCAGACGCAGGTAAATTAAAAATTTCCATGCAAAACTTGTGGACAAGATCTGCAGAATGTAGGGCAAAGGAGAAAGAGTCTAGCATGTTTACTATCAAACAGGAAAGATATGTCCTTATTCAGGAGACAAAAATAAAATTGTCTTGACAGGACACTATGAACTAAAAAGGTTATGAGGATAGCCCGGATTTATGTGCACCCAAAAAATCAATGACCTCAAATATACCATATAATTTGCAATAAAAATATTAAAATACGTCATCCATCTAATAATTTCACTTTTTTCATATAATTTAAAATATACAAAATAAATAATTAAGCTTAATTAAATTCATGATTTGAATTAAAATTGGCAATGCTAAACATTTCAGAATTAGTTTCTGTATTACATTTGTAACAAATATTTGTACCACAAAAAAATATTTCAACATCGAGAGAGGACAAGGTCCAGGATAACTGGATCCTCGATTCACTGTAAAACAACTTTAGCTTTATTGTTTCCATTTAAGATTTAATTAATTTTACCCAATTCAGTAATTTTTCAGGAAAGGCAAAAAATGCACCTAGAAGTTTTGGAAATAGGGGCAAAAGAATGCTGATTATTTCAAGAGAATTTCTTTTATGCCAGTTTTATGCCCTTGTGCCTGGCAAGTTAACTGAAATCCAAGTCAAATTTAGGTTCTTGTTTGTTTCCTCTCATGTTCTTAGTTGCCTATCTTTTTTCCATAATCAAAAAATATTTTTAATTTGCAATAACCTTAAAATAAAAAAATTTATGCAATATTCTTTAAACATAGAGAATAAAATTTGAACCACTGTACACTAAATACAGAGGCATGATTTAAACAAATACGTAATCGCCATAGTCATAAGTGTTAGCAAAAAAAAAATTCAATTTCATACAAATCCAGACTCTAGTTATGAGAGTAAAAATAGGACGAGCAGATTCTGAAAAGAAGCAAAAAAGAACGATATATTCCATCCTGGATTGCCAAGCTACATTGCTCCACAGGAGACGATATTTTGGACTGTACAAATTATTGTTTAAGAAGTCCTAGAAGACACCGTCGAAATGATAGCAGATCTGATCAACTATATCAAATGCCTTGGCAAAATCTAAATACAATTGACTTAATAATTCGAAACCCAAGGGACCACAAAAATAATTGAAATTATCAAGATATTTGAACTATTCAGAGGAAAGAAAAAAATGTTAAGAATTGATACACATTTTTCCATACATACATATATAACACATAGTAAATACATATATAAAACTTAGCACATATGTAAAACATAGTATAATAAATATAAAACATAGTAAAAATAACGAAAAAGCAGAAATAGATCAACTGTAAAATTGAACATTGTTACGCATTATTAAAGAAATCATGAAGAGATTTTGGTTTCAATATGGCCTGGCATCCTTTGTTTAAATGATTTTCCATAATGACCATTGCTAAGGACACATTGATAAAACACTGGCCACAGAACATAACACACTAGAGAAAATTCTAAGAAACTTTAGGCTGTACGGATGTAAACAACATATCGAAATTTAAAGGATTATAACAAAGAAAAGTACAAATTATAAAGATGGAAAGTGGCTCTATTTCGATTAATAGCATGCTTTTTCTTCCCCTGTTACAAAAAAAAATGTGTATTACGAAGTGAATCAAAATGCACAGATTTTTTTTTTTTTTTTTTTTCAATTTACTGAAGTGACCTGCCGAGGAGTTTGTATTATCAAGAAATTCGAATTAACAAGAGTCAACTGTATATTGTGTCAACCTGTTGATGCATAGCTAGGGGCTTTGGTTGTGTAGTCTTGAAAAAGAAGGTTTGTTGTTGAACGAGAAGGGTATTCTGTATTGTTTGTGTTATGATGGTTGAATTTAACACAATCTGAAAGTTGTTTTTGTCTTTGTGTTTGAGTACCTGTTCAGCTACCGAGTGCCAAGCACATTGTCCATTTTGAAAAGATCTTACCTTATCATTGAGTGTAATCCAATTTTTAAGCTTGTTAAACTGAGAATTTGCGGGTGGATAATTGTGAAGTTCTACAAATCTTGGAAAATGTTTCTTGAGTAGTTCCGCCATCAGAACTAAAACCGGTTAGAATTAGAAAAATTTTCCATGTCTGAAAACTGGCGTCCAAATCGAAAATGGCGGTTTTACCTGCGTCGGAAAAGTCCCTTGCCAAGTTCTTCTTGGGCTTAGAGAATTCGAAATTGTTCAACCAGTCGTAAAGTTCGTCTTTCGGATCTTTGCAATCTCTACTTTTCAACATGGGCTGGTTCATTTGTTCGATTTCGGCCGTCACCGGGTAAAAGAAATTTTTTTTAAACTCAAGTTCGCCCTCCTCCAGCTGACCAACAACAATTCTGTTACCTCCAGACGACTGTGTTGGTGTTTGTTTATGTGTTCATTCTTTAATAAACACCTCTGACCAGGCCGTGCTAAAGAGGCTCGATATGTAAAAAGTACATTATATAATGTACATTTCTTTATTCAAAACAGTCCGCTTTAGATATTTATTTATGTGCATATTTACCACTTTTCTCCTGGGATGTGCTATATCTCTCTATTCGATACCGACTGGTAATAGCATGATTGTAGACACAAAAATACCCTGATTTTAACCAAAAACTGTTTGATGAAATTTAGGGGCCAAGGAAGTATGCGAGTGCAAGGAAGTGGTTCATGAGGACAAGGAAGTTAACAGCGAACACACACTGGGAGTGGTTGTACCTTTCAGAGAACGCCTCGAAGAATTGCTGGAGTTTGCGCCTCACATTCGATCATTCCTGAATAAACAAAAAGTCAAACATAAAATCTTTGTTATTAACCAGGTTAAAAATCTTTATTGACTAGTAAACAATTTGGCATGCTTTAGAAAAAATTTAGATCATGTCTAAGTGAATGACGACGATGAGTAAGACAATACAGATTTTCATCCAACCTCAAAAACATAAAACGAGAGTGGAGCATAGTCACAATATGGAATACATTCGCTCATTGAACAAAAATGCATGCTTTTCACTTGTAAATATATATATTTTTCTATTTAGTTATTATTTACAGGTAAAAACCCAGTTCAAATAGATAACATCTGTTAAGCCCAAATAATTCATAATATACAGAATGAATTGAAATGATAAAAAAATTAACTGAACTGCTCAAAAATGAATAGTGATATTTATAATTTATTCTTATTCTATTCATTTTAGTTAAATTAACCAATATATCCTTGTTAAGGCCTGTTTATATGCTCATACAATTTGCGCCAATTGACTTGTGCAAGCAAGTTTGCACAAGTAAATCGTTGTGTGTAAACAGAAGCATGACATTTGTGCAAGCTGAAAAGTTTGGCTTAATAAAATTTATCCTGTTAGAAAAATTGCATGAGGTTGGTGCTGTTGCATGAGCGTGTGAACGGGCTTGCTCCAACCTTCTAGTCTAGCACCTGCGCATTGATGCAGTTGTAAACGCTGAAGGGACAGCAGACATTCGTTATCAGCTTTTATCTATAATAATTATTATAATTTGTGGTTGTTATTGATTATTTCTGAAGCCCTGCTTTGTGTTCTGTTGAAATGGTGAAAAAAGAGAATGAGTTTCTCTGAGAATTTATAGAGTTATATAAATTGTTTCCGTGTTTGTGGAAAGTAAAGAGTTGGGAATATACTGATTGGAATATGAAATCTCAAGCATACAACAGTTTGGTTGAAAAATTCCTGACTGTTGACCCCGAAGCCACCAGATACGGTTGTAAAAAAAAAAAATTAATTCGCTACGTACATGTACAGAAAAAATTATTAAAAAAAAGTGGTTGAGTCTGAAAGATCCGGTGCAGGGGAAGAGGACATTAGGCGGATAAAACAAAATAGAAATTACAAACCAAAAACAAATGTTAATCCTCATTTTTAATAAATGGATTTACTACTAAGAATAGTAAACATGAAGATGACTCAATTTGTAAACAAACACCTTTTCTCGTCTTTTCTCCATTTTAATCCAGTTGTATTCACTCTGACCATGAAAAGACATCATCTTGAACAAGAAGTTCGCAATATTATGGTGAGAATGAGTTGTTGAGGTCACTGGCAAGTGGTTATCGCAGAGGCAGTTGGTTTTTCTCTGAGTGTGGTCTGCTGGGTTTAGCCCGATTCCGAGAGTCTGGAACTGCCAATAGGAGGCCTGGTAGTGGATCTCAGCACATTTCGACGCTAAGGGAGAACAGAAATATGGTCATTGCTGCAAGATGGAACCCATAGTGCCCACCAGATCCTAAATGAAGGCAAGGCCTTTATCAACACCAACAATTCGTAATTGTTTTTGGGAAGTTGGTCTCGCATAGAAACAAATAAAATTGATTAATATTGATTGCTGGACATAGGTTTGGAGGGTAATGAAAATGCGGACAATTTGCTAAGACCAGGATGTACTTCTTGAATATATAGCCAAGGAATTGCACCCTTCAATAGGTAGAACATATCGAGCAACCATTCTCTACGTTCCAGACACATGGGCTTTGGCCCAAAGTAAGTCAACCTCGCTTGGCCATTAATTGGGTGAAGATGACCCTACTTCTACGAGTCAGATCCTCCGAAGGCCATGTTTCAACAGATATGCGACAGCTTTTCCACCTATCCAGCCCACCAGCACTACCACTTTCTTTTAATCATATTTTTTTATTGTATTTATACTCTCAGGGGGCTGGATTGTGATGGTTAAGTCCAGAGTTTGATACATCCTGGTCTAAGCCACCTTGTCCGCATTTTCATTACCCTCCGAACCTATGTCCGGCAATCAATATTAATCAATTTTATTTGTATGTATTTGTTCTCTTTAAAATAAGGAAAATCACAATGCAAACCAACTTTTGGATGAGAGATTCTACAGCCAACATGTTAAATTTTCATTATAAAATGTAATTAAAATAATTGTCCCTGTCTATAGGTGGACCAGTATAGATTCAACAGGGCCTCATTGATAAATGTGGGTTTCAAAATTGCTACAGACGAAGGCTGCGATTATATCGTCATGCACGACGTAGACCTGCTGCCCTTGAATCCAGCCTTACCTTATACATACCCAAAAAATGGTCTTTTCCATGTAGCTTCTCCTGAGATTCACCCTCGATACCATTACCCTACATTTGTAGGAGGAATACTTATTATTAAAAAGTAAAGCTGATCGTTTTTTAAGTTTAATTTTAATTCTTTTCAATTGAAACAATTTTTTAGAGAAGATTTTATGTTGGTAAACGGAATGAGTAATAAATATTGGGGCTGGGGGTTGGAGGATGACGAGTTTTTCTTGAGGCTGAAGGAAGCTGGCCTTAACATCTCGAGGCCGTCCAATTTAACGACAGGGATTGAAAACACCTTCAGGTCTTCTGATTTGGCGAAGTGTAAAAAAATCTCGATAACATTATCTTTAATTGTTTCAGACACATTCACGACAGAGTATGGAGAAAACGGGACATGGTTAAATGTTTCAACCAAAAAGAAGTGACAAGGAGAAGGGATAGGGTTACGGGGCTTAAAGACGTCTCCTACTATATTAAATCGAGGCAACATCTCACAATCGAAGGGGCCTCGCTCACAATGATAAACACGCTATTGAGGTGCAACAGGACAATCACACCTTGGTGCCTTTGTTCGGAAGAAAGGAAAAATAAAATAGATAAGTCACCTAGATTTTACAAAAAATCATCCCCCATCAGATGACCATCGGGAAAACCTTGTATATAATTCTATTTTATTGTACTTCGGGAAAAAAATCCATTTTTTATCTACTGCTTTGTTTTTGTTTAAATTAAGCAGTATTTATCTGTCCATTTTTTATGATCATTGATGAAATTGTTCTAAAAAGTAATAAGTGTGACAAATTACAGGATGGACAAATTGTTTCAAAAATTTTATAAGATGTCATTCAAAAGAGGATAATTACTCAATTAATTTTTAAAGATTTATAACAGCCCAAGGAAAGCAACATGTAATTATATTTGTATTTTATTGTGTGAATGTATAATAAATGACCAGTTTTATAATAATAGGTAAAAAAATTGGGGATGAAAGTATTGTCATAAATTTCAGCAATTATCATGACCATCTGGCTGTAAAAACTAAGTTAGCATATTGAATGCTATATTGTGAATGGTGAGTCTTGTAGCTGGATGACTAGCAAATACTATATTTACTAATAGTATTTATTTATTTACCTTTAATCTCAGGTGATGATGGAATATTGGTTATTATCATTTGACAACCATAACATTCTATACAAAAAATATAAATATGTGTATAATATAAAGTGATATATAGTTTTTGTTTTTTATAGAATAATAAATATATTTCATTCCTCAACTATAAATAGATAAATAAATATACTACTTATGGATAAGAAATAAAATAGCATTGTTTTTTTTTTAATTCAAGATTGTTTTGGAAAACATAAATAAGGCTGTTTGTCATAGTCTTTACTACTTTTTTTAAAAGCATAAAACACGTTTTCTTCATATATTCATTCCCTTTCCTTCTATTCATTGAGTAGCTGGAGAGTGCCCCATGACTAGCTTTCTTTTTTTTTAGTTCTCTGATCATGTTGTGTCTGACGTTTGCGAGTAAAGTTTTTTGTGCTTCAACAGTCAATTATAATCAGCCAATAGTCGTGAAAAGACATCGTCTGCATACTTTGTTTTTTATATAGAAAATGAGTTTTTGCATTGGAAAACATGTACCCAAAATTTTTGATTCTACCTTAGTGTTTGTTTTTTTTGCAAGTATAGTAGGAAAACATTTAGTCAAGGTAGTCAACACTCATGGAGTTATTAGATTTGGCCAAATCCCCTTACTTGTCCTGACCATCATTTGTATTTTATGTTCAGTTCTATAACTGCACACCATTTTCTCTCTTTTTAGTTGTTTATCTCTTACCTCTGCAGGTATATTTTTTTTCTTAAAGTCAGATAGGTCCATTTTTCTAATTCTCAGCTTCAATTTATCATTTATCGATCATTGTTCTAATTTTATACAGTCCATCTTCTGCCTCTTGTCCTGCTGGAGGATTCGAACCGAAATGGAGACAGCAAAGGATTAGCTGGAATCTATTTCCGGCCGTAAGATCCATGTAAACAAATATAATCAGGCAGATGGGCTAGTTCCAGTGCGGAAAAGCAATCCAAGAAAAACCTTCCACTTCTCTACGGTGATATGGACTGCTTTCATTTCAAAGAAACACTGCTGAGGTGTAATTATTTGCCTCTTTGACAACCATTTCAAATAAATTTTTACAAAAAATATATATATTAGAATATTTAATTGGGTATTTTTTCTTTATTATTTTTCTAATTTTTTTCCCCATATAACACGTTCAACTGTAAAATTGAAATATTTGTAGTCTTCTTTCAAGTAAGAGCCTGAGGTTCAACTTCCTATGCCTGAACCTCTTCAGGATTTCCTAACATCTTCAGTCTGAAAACGATCTTTATCTCAGCCTACCTCCTCCTCATCAGTCTCTGCCCACCACTTATCATCAAATGAGAACAAATGTTAATCATCAACATTGAAAAGCATGTGTAATGCTTCAACCTTTTTTTTTCTTTATTTCCATTTTAATTTTTTAAACTCCACATAAGGTCCATACGTCATGGCCACAGATGGTGTACCTTTTTTGACACACATGTACGTTTTGCCAGTTAAAGTGTTAAATTTATTCCTTTAGTCTTGGAAACAAAATTTCAAAATAGTTTCTTCAAAACAGCAGGGAAAATGTCTTCTACATGTTTTCCAATAAACTATGATCCAATTTTTATTCCATCTTCGTGAAAATTTTGTTTCAATTTGACTTAAATGATTAAGGAAAGGTATATAATTCAACAGTTTATGTCTTTTAAACAATTACATTCCTATTTTACCTAATATTTCATTAACAACCAATAATAATTTATTGTAGTTGTAAGGTTAAAACACTAACTTTTATAAAAACTGTTCAGTTATATTTTAACTAGTATGTAATATACCAAACTAGATGTAAGCGAAATATTGAAACTACTGTTTTCAAACATGAGAATGAAAAAGAGGAAGTTGAGGTTTAATGTTCAATCAAAACTTGTGATTTATTGTACACAAAAATGTAGCTGAACCAAATTGACTGATTGTTATATATGACTGTAATTAAATATGTTAGATGGCTAATTAATTAAATGATCTTTTTTGGAACAAGTTTACATGTTCTGTGACTTATTTCAAAATTCATTTTTTCCACTCATCTTTGAATTTTTGAATTATATAAAGCATTTTGTATAATGTACAGTCCCAGGTAGCATAATCAAAGGTTGGAATGGATTTCTCATTAAAATGGACTGTAGGGCAGGTGGATTTTCGGAGAGCAAATGTGATGTGTGTGGATTTAGTTTTGTTAATTTTTGTTCTCCTGACCAAGACTGAAGAAAATTTAAATGGAGTTGGATGTTATGACTAGCTAAGGAAAGACCAGGATTATATGTCAATGCTGTTGTTATTTATATATAATACTATTAGGGAAATTGGGAATAGGAAGACCCCTGTGGGACATCTGCTGTTATGGAAATATAAGAAGAAAAGACAATACCAGTCTGTCAGATGGGATTTTAAGTGTTAAAAGGGGAAAGGAGGAATCCCTTGAGCTTTCACAGCAAATACAGACTCGATCTTCTCTTAAGAAGTATTAGGTCATTGACTACCGTTGCTGCAATTTTTTGCTGGTTTTCTTTGCATCCCAGGTTGTTTCCATTGAGTGTTTGCTTCGCATTGTGTCTGGCAAGAGTTTGTCCGGTCGTTCTCCTTTTGCCTTTTTTTATGCATTCTGTGATGGAGGATTTTGTTTATTTTTTGTTATCCCAAGAATAAGTTCAGCGCCTATTGCCTATTGGTCTTGCAGATCCTCCTCTGGTCAGTGTGTCTGCTTTTTCATTAGCTGAAATTCCTTTGTGTCTTTGTACCCAAGATATTGACAGGTTGTTGTGTTTCCCCAGGTATTGGTGATTTTTTCACTGACTAATTTTGATGTAATGTTTTTACATGTTAACGCTTTAATAGTTTCTTGGCTATTCTTATGAAGATTTTTTTGCCTGTGTAACCACTTGTAAGATTTTCTAAGGTAAAAGCAATGATTGCACGTATTTCAGCTTGAAAGACTGAGATGCTTGATCCGGTTCCTTTGTTTGTTTTGGAGCCATTGTATACCATATTGTATCTGACATTTTTCTGAATTCGTCCTCTCTTTTACAGTCTGTTGAGACTTTATAGGATGTTGTAGTGTCTCCGAGATCATGAAATCAGTCCCCGTTCCTAAGAATCTGGTGTCTGATTTTATTAACTATTGTTGTGTGCCTGAAGTGTTTAGTTCACATCCAGTTTGATTGTTTCTTGAGTCTAAATGAGCTTTTCCTCGAGTCTCCGTGTATAAATATTTCCAATAGGTAGGTTTAACAATGTGCTAGTGCAACCGAGAGTTGTTTTCATTGCCTCTATGATAGGTTTCTTAGGCTTTGTATACTGCCTAACGTTTGGGTAGCTTGTTTTTGCTAAGCTTGGGTCCACCAGATTAGTGAGCCTTATGATAATTTGGGTCTTATTACTGCCGGCTACATTCAAGAGAAACTAGAAACATTGTACGTATCTTTTGTGAATGTGCGGCGCTGGCTTATATATATAGTTTCTTGGTTATTTTAATTCTAAAAATTTGATACAATGAGCAGAACATATTCAAATAAGCGGTTTTTTGTCTAACAGATTTTTAGTACTTCATTAAGTGGTCTGTGTAGACGAATAGAAAACAAATGCAATATTGTAATGATGTTTTTAATAATTTATGTGTACAATTGGTTTTAATAATATATTCTTAGATGTTTACTAATGAAAATAAGCTGTAGGACAGAAAGTTGAACAATTTTTCATAAGAGTCGGTCATTATTTAAGGTGTACTAAACACTTCCAATTCAGTCTGTATTTGGAATATCTATCTTAACTCTTTAAGACATATTTGCTTTTTCCCGAAATAAAGAAAAAATTGTGTTGCTAAATTATTTTGTCATTTTGTAAGTAGGAGTACTTGAGCAAACACACACAAAAAAACACTACATTTTGCTATTCAGTGATTATTTTGATGAGTAACGTGTTTTTTGTGGGTATGAGTTGTTTTCCGAAATTTTTCCAATAACGATCCGTTTTCTTTGGATTACATCATATTACTTGTTTAACGATTACATCATAGATATGTTCTCTGTAGATAGCACTCTCAGTCCACCCCACTCCACACCAGATAGGTTTTATCAATATTATGTTTCAGTCCGGCTGTGAGTAGCAACCCTTTCGTTTTGTTTCTTTTTTCGGTTCACAATCCAATTCCAGAAGAAAATATCTCCCACCGTTACAGTTGACTCATCACGTCATGTTATGTTAATTTTACACTGCATAAAATGTCTCAGGCAAAAGTCGTCCTCCTGTCATGCGGTTCTTTCAACCCTCCGACAAACATGCACCTGCGATTGTTCGGTAAGACCTTACAAAGTCTGCGACGTTGATTTAATCTCTAATTCGTTTTTTTTTTTTTCAGAAATTGCAAGGGATTATTTGCACAAAACTGGCCGGTATCAAGTGGTCTGCGGTATAATCTCTCCGGTGCATGACAACTATGGCAAGAAAGACTTAATATCTTCAACACACAGGTGCGCTTTGGTCAAACTCGCTCTACAGGACACGAATTGGATATTTTTGAGCGATTGGGAATGCCAGCAATCTGAATGGCAGTTTACGCTCCGTGTCCTTCAGTATCACCAGGTAAACCAGTAATTTTAATAGAAATGATGAACGAGTAATTTTAACTTTTAACAAGCCTGAATGACATTTTAAAGAAAAACAGCGGGCAAAGTAAAAGAAAAGTTAAGACACTGTATTGATTTATACAACCTGACCTTGGTCTGCTTTCCCAATTTTTCATTTAGTTTTGGCGTTTCATTTTTAATAAATTTCTTAAAAAGAGCTATTACGGCTCTTATGATAATACATTTGAGATACTTTTTGTTTCAATATTTGTTGCAATGTGTGGTGATTAGTGACCGTTAGTCGATGATTATTAGAAAATCGTGAGATGTGGTCTGGTGTGATGTAGGTTTCCGAACAATATTTTCTGTGGTGATTGATCAGCATTCTCAGTTTAAATACATTTTTTCTTTCCAAAAGATAGATTGGGGATGAGGCCAGGAAGACAGAAACAACATTTATTTTCTTGTCGAGCTTTCGGCAGAATATATCGCCTTCATCAGGACTTCGAAAAAAATCGTCATACTATATGAACAGGTACATTCACCTGCAAAGCCCTTAAAGGGCCTAGAAACGGGACAAGTAAAAGAAAGTCCTAGTGGTTATATGAACAGGTACATGTGTGGATAACGGATAGCCGGTATCCACACATGTACCTGTTCATATAGTATAACGATTTTTTTCAAAGTCCTGATGAGATATATTCTGCCGAAAGCTCGACAAGAAAATAAATGTTGTTTCTGTCTTCCTGGCCTCATCCCCAATCTACCTTTTGGAAAGAAAAAAAATGTATTTCAGAACTTATTAAATTCACTAATTTTGTGGTCCGCTTGACCAATTAAACATTACAATTAATTAAGGTTTTTAGTAGAGATGAAAAAAAGCTAATGGCATGAGAGGGATTCGAACCCACGACCTTCGGCTTGATACGCCGCTGCTCTACCACCTGAGCTATCGTGACCTCGATCCACTCGGACATCAACTCCCCATCTCAACCCCACCTTATGAGTTTTCCCTCCTTTTGCCATTTTTCAAATAATTTACACCAATTTCCATGAAAATTGGTATCTAAGGGTTTTATAGATAAAATCAAGACAGTGAGGTCAAATCCAAGTTTTGACCATTTTCTAACCTGCTTTGCTTCTTACAGAATGTGCAAAAAAAGCAGTAATTTGTTTATTGTATTCATCTTTTTCAGTCATACCAAATTAGAATATTGTGCGTCGTATTCGTAGAGCAGTTTTGTTTTTGTGTTAACCAACAATGAAATTAATATTTTTGTAATCTCTAAATAACAATTTATACTCATTATTGAAATCAATATAAAAAAATGCTGTAAAATGATAATATTGACATATTGATTTGAACAAGTAGAACAGTGAAATAAAAATGTTAAAAAAAAAAAAATATTTCAATTTTCAAAAAAACAATTTTGGCAAAACCAAGGGCCTATTCACAAGAAGTGGCAGATGTGTGTCTGATATTTTGGAGTATAGAATTACCAAAAAAATGGAAAACTTCAACTTTTGAATTTTTTTTTTTGGGGGGGGGGCAAAACGAGGGCCAATTGACGAGAAGTAGCAGATATCTATCGGAAATTCTGGAGTGTAGAATCACCAAGGCTGACCCCTTGTAAATTCCTACTCCTGAAAGAAGTAAAACACGGACCTGAAAGAAACACGAGGGATTCCTTGAAAAACCTTTGAGATCTGGTAAAATCCCTTAAGCTAAGGAGGAGGAGCAGTACAGCATTAGCACAGAGGCCAGCTCTGCAGTGGGAACCACAATAGCCAAGCAGTCGGCTGTTAGATTCGCTGTTCGTAGACCTAGCGGTCGTAGGTTCAATTCCACTGTTGTTCCTTTTTTCTCGCTCCCCTCCTGACAAAAACACAATATGAAAATAGAATGATTGCCTTGGCTAATACTGAAAAAAATTAAGGCTATTAAGGAAAAAATAAAAGGCCAGCGCCACACCCAGAAGAAACATGCCATGAGAAACCAGCCAATTCTGGTACTCAGAATGTCCTCATTAAGGGACAAGGAGGTCTTGAGGCCATCAAGGAGATGTGGTGGATTCTCAAGATGGAAATTTGTACAGAGAGCTCAAGCAATAGGATTAGGATGGATTGAGAAGTGTTGGTGTGAAACTGGAATTGGGAACAGATCGGTTTTTTGACAAAAGGAAAATTGAGGTCATTGTGGATAGTGAGGGAGTAGGGAGCTTTGACAATTTTGTATACGCTGTATATTTGATGGCTTGGCAGAACCCACAGTTCCATTCCGTATGTCCAAAGTGGTTGCAGTATAGGGTTAGTTTAGTGTAGATGGTGAAGACAGATTTCAGCCGTAAAAGTCTTTGTAGCTGTCCAAGTCTTGTTAAGTTGATGTCTCACAATTCTTATGTGTGGACCCCACGTCAGTCTGCTGTCTAGGTCCACTCCTAAGTTTTTGACTTAAAATAAAAGTCTGTTTCTCTTTGTTGTTGATAGTGTATAATGAATAACTGTATGTATGTAATAATATGTAAAAGGATAATTTAATTTAATTGTTCTTCTTTTCAGAACAAACTCAATTCATGCCATATAGAAAATATGGGTTCAAAGCGTCAGTTGAACAGCGATGCACCGATGTGGGTAGAGCATGCTCAAAAATATGGAGATAACAATAAAGGCATCACGGTAAAACTTCTATGTGGTGCCGACCTCCTGGAGACCTTCAGCATCCCCGGCCTCTGGGCTGAGCATGATGTAAGCAGTGCATTTTTTCCCTTCAATTCGTCACATTTCTAATTTTTATTTTTTCAACAGATTGAAAGCATAGTCGGCGATCACGGCCTCGCAGTCGTCACTCGACATGGGAGTGACCCTTACAAATTTATTTATGAGTCTGACACGCTTTCCAAATATCATGTAAGATTATAAATTTGCTTTTTTATTTATGCATATCAAAAACAAATAATTGTGTGGTTTTTAGAATAATATAGCGATTATACCAGAGTGGATAACTAATGAAATAAGTTCCACAAAAATAAGAAGATCGTTGAGGAGAGGAGAAAGTGTTAAATATTTGGTTCCTAACGAAGTTATAGATTATATTAGGAATAATAGACTTTATGAGGCTACAAACAAGTAAGTCTAGACAATTTTTACACTTAGTTTTTTTTTTTTAACCTCATTTTATAGTTAATATTATATTGTTTAGATTTTTGAAATAGATAAAAAAATAAAGGTTTTATTTTCTATAATGATGTTTCATAATTTCTCACAATGTCTTTCTTATTTCACGCTATCCCTTTCAAATAACGGAACAGTAAGTATCAACTGTACCCGCATTCGAGTGTGTACCTTACACCGTCACCAAACGATGTCATCATGACAATGACACCTATCGACGTGCCAGACACACCCGGTAATTACTCAAAAAGTACCAATGAGCTGAAACGACCTAGGCCCGGCCAGGCGGTTGCAGTAAGAAAGGTAAACATGGAGGAATGCATTGACGAGCCGATAGATGAGACTCGAGTCGAAATACAAATTATGGAAGACGGGAGAATAGAGGTCATTAGTGACAAAGAAACGACAGTTTAAATCTAATCGTTTCCCCACCCCTTATTTGTTATGTCTTCCAATCAAAATGTCTCCTAAATGGCTGTAAAAATTGTGTCAATCTGGAATTTGTAAAACAATTCATTTAAAAAACTGTTGTCTTCCTCAATTTGAAAAATTTATTAAATTATTAAATCTTTGTTAAATTATTAAAAAACTAACAAAAAGTTCTGTAAGCATTCTGTTATTTTTCGTACTACAACTGTCTACAGCACAGAGTTCACAAATATCACTTGTGTTATTTAATGTATTTGCACTGCAGTTGATGAGGGTAAACCATCACAATAAATATATAAAAAAATGTCAAGGTACTCATTTTACACGTGTGCAAGCTATATTACTTGACAAAAGAAAATATACGTGTACTTAAATTCTGGTCAACATGCACAATTATAAATATTTGACAAATGACAACAAATGTTTTTACTATAATTCAAGTTGTAAAGATTCAATATTGGCGGTGTCAGAGCCATAATGGTTAAGGCGTTGACTTTGTGTTCATCAACGTAAGGTAAAGGTCCCAGGTTTGATTCCAGCAGTCCTGAATTCAAAACCAACATACAATTGGTCCTTTTTTTTTCAAGATCGCTAGCATCCCAAGGGTTATATAACCTCGTAGTTCAAATACCCTTGTTTAAAATAATAAATATATATAACTACTGATCCAATATTTTTGCATGGTTGACCTTAATTAAAGTACTTGTTGCATGCAAAAGGCTTATTATGATATAGAAAGAATCATTGAGAGGTAATGGTTGAAAAACACCCATTGGTCGACCAGAAATATAAAATGGAATTATTGTGATTGTATGTTATTAACAGTATTAATTTTTTGGACCAAACCAAAAGAACATTGTGTGCCAAATTTTCTAAAGGGAAAAATCAGTCAAATAAAAATGTAATTGAAGACTTATTTTTTAATATGAGGTGAGATTTAATTCACAGGGTGTTTTCTCTAAAAAGAAATCAATTGTTAAATCCAAGAAATACACTGGTAAGAATTTTAAGATAATCGAATAGTTTTTTTTCCTGTTTTAAATAGATTTATAATGCATGAGGAATGAGATATGTTAGGAAAGAATAGATCCTTAGGTGTCACCACAGGTAAGAAAAGAAGCACGTCACGGACAAAATGCACATTTCTTAAATGTTTAATTATAAAAATTACCTTGGTGTCTAAAACTGATAAATCCCACAATCCATTAGGGTTAAAATTTTAAACACGAATTTTAAAACTTTTAACCGTCTATTGAATTTAGAATTTTGTACTGTGTAGCAGTTGGGATATTGATCGGATTAGATGCCAGATCATTTTAATGTTGATTGTTTAGTGTTTAGATTTTATAAATGTTACATTGTAATAAAAGCACAAAATGGAAGAAGCATTGTAGATAAAATTCAAAGTTACTATTTTAATGTAGTCTACCAAAAAAAAAACTTTCATTAGTGTTATATTGCATTTTGTACCTGAGTTTATATGCATGTGGATTAAAATGAATGATTACACATATTAAATACAGAAAATAATTAACAAAGTCGATTGTAGGAAAAAATAACAGTCTTTATTTTATCAAGAGTAATAATCTTTCAACTGTGATACGTTTTGATTTTTAATAGTACTTACACAAACAATGTATGAGACTCATATCCAAAACACCATATTTCCCAATAATAAGTGAACAGTTTAAAAACAAATTTGTTCTTGGTTTTTTCAGGCAGTGAGGCCTGTATGCCTGCAGTAAAACGCCTGATTATGTACGTTGGATGTAATCGACCGCCTATCTCTTTAGTTTAACAAAGCATTACTTGTCTGCATGCTATCTACAGCAACTCTTCGAACTTTACATCTATAACAATTTGTAAATAGTTCTTTCATGTGTTTTATCTTTTTTTTAAATCTTTTTGTTTGCATTTTATAGCTTTAAAAATATTAATCGTTTATGAGATAAATAATTAGTAGCATTTTATTTTGATTCCATTATCTAAGTTGTTAATTTTTTTTAGTTCAACTATTTTTTCTTTCCATTATATTAGCCTGCTATATAGAAAGTGGTTCATTCAAATAGTGGGCTATGTTGGTTTTTATTTATTTATTTTTAAATAAAAATATTCTTAAGAATTTATTGTAATTAGTTGATGTATAATAATTACTAATTTGCTAAAATTGGATGTTTAAAAAGTAAATTAATATGTTTAACAAAATAATTTAGTATACAAAACAGCCTCTTTTCCAATTTTTATTTTGTTTGAGCTTTTTTTATTTTATTTTCATTTTTTATCGCATGCTGCATGATTAATATTTTGTGCAATGTTCTTCAACTGTGATTTATATTATAGATTAGTTTATATTATTTTTCTTTTTACTTTATGTCAAGATTTGTTTTTGATGTCATCACAATGTGTGATAAAAGAATTATGTTTTTATGGTACCAATTTTTTTTTATACTTAATATTTAGGTTAATTCAAAATACTTCAATTTATTTGTGAATGTAGTCCAATTAATGGGAAAATAAATTATACTTGTTTAGTGTAATATTTGTACTTTATTTTTATCCTTTTCCTTTTTTGGGATCTTCTTCCACTGCAACCAAAAAGATCTATTGTGGAATTGACCCTCATGTACACAAACCAGCCACATTCAAGCCTTTCCGAAGAGACTGCCGTTTCTGGGCTAATATTTGCAGTCACCTAAGGCATATTACATCCTTACCCGACAGTTCTGTTTATTTATTTTATTCCGATAATCATCCTGATCCAATTTTATCCTTTCACATAACAAATCTCTCAATCATACAATGTGAGATTTTTTCTTAAGGTCTGCAGGCTGATAATGTAATTTGGGTTGGTTCCTATTTGGCGTAATAAATGTTTTCACATTTTCTTCATCTTCAATGAATGATTTTTAGGTAAACAATAATGGGAAATGGCCAATCATAAGAGTTGTATCATTTGGAAAAATGAGCACTTTTTACTGTATTAGTTTTTTTTAATAACTATGATATGACCACATTTCATGCAATTTTATATATTATTATTGACAATTCTAGACCTAAACAAAGCCTTTGACTCTGTCCCCACATAGTTTACTTTATAAAAACAAAAACAACTGAAAGTATGTAATTTCAGTCCAATGTTAGAATCATATTTATATTTTAGATGGCAAGCAGTAGTAGTGCAAAAATAAATTGTCAGAATTTAAACTTTTAAAAATGGCTTTAAACAAGTTGTCAAATATAGTAAAAAAGTTGCCCAGTGATGACAGAGAATTAAAAATGGTACTGTTGGAGGAGTATAAAAATATTCCACAACACTACATTCAAAACCTCATAAAATCGATGCCACGTCAAATATAAGCGGTGATCAATGCAAGAAGAGAAAATACACTGCACTGAATTGAATATTTTATGCGTTGTTTCCATAGCAACATAGTTGGTAAAATTGTTTTAATCAGTTTAATTTTTTTATATAGCTATATCTTATATATATACAACAGCAAAAAAATTATAATGATTGCATGTATTTACTAAAAAATACGAGGAAATTGCTTCTTTTTTTTTGCCTTTCAGTGTACATGGCCTATTTGATGAGGGGGTTTTTAGTGCATATAATATTGTATATTTCAGGGTTTTTAGTACAAAATATATGGCATATTTCATGGTTTTTAGTGTGTATTATATGGCATATTTGAGGGGCTTTTTTTAGTGCATTTAATATTGCACATTTCAGATTTTTAGTGCATATTTCAGGGTTTTTAGTGTTTATTATATGACATATTTGAAGAATCTTTAGTACATATAATATTATATATGTGAGAGAGATTTAGTGCATATAATATTATATATATGAGGAGTTTTAAGGCACAATATTATGACATATATGAGGATTTTTTAGTGCATATACTGTTGCATACTTGAGAGTTATTTTAGCGCATATAATATTGCATATTTGAAATTTTTAGTGCATGTTATATGGCATATTTCAAGGTTTTTAGTGACTATTATATGACATATTTATGGCTTTATTTACTGCATATAATATTAAATATTTGAAGGGTTTTTATTGCATATAATATTACTTATTGGTTTCAATGCATAAAATTATACAGCATATTGAGAATTTTTTAGTGCATGTAATGCATATAAAGTTATTTTAATGCATATAATATTGAATGTTACAGATTTTTTAGCGCATATTATATGACATTTCAAGGCTTGTAGTGGATATTATATGGCATATTTGATGGGGTTTTACTGCATACAATATTGCATATTTGAAGGGTTTTTAGTGCATAAAATTATATGGCAAATTTAAAGATTTTTTTATCCCTATAAATCCAGGTTATAATTCCAACTAATTGAAAATCGGGATAGAACAAGACTGAAGTTGGATAAATTTTGTAAATAAAAGAAAATTCTCTTTTTTTTGTACTATTTCAACGTCAAAACGTGTACTTTATAAATCGAGGTGAAATCGATATGAAAGCCTAGTGAGTCATTCTCTGGGATGAAGAACTAAGAAGCCGGCGCTGTAGTTCACAATCAAACCGCCGTCCCAGGGCAGGCATTCGCCAAGTTTCTCGGCTGTCAAAAGTAAATAGTTCTTCCTCTTTTCGATTCAAGATCCCTGCTAAATTCGAAAAATGTTCAAAAAATGTAATTTTTTAATGCTGAACCTTCTCCTGGCCGTCAGCGCGTTGGCGGAATGGACCAACGACTACATGAAGCGAGAACACTCCTTAATAAAGCCATACCAAGGTAGTCCATCATGTAAAAGTTTTATTTTGGATTTATTTAAGAAAGAATTTGTTGAAAACGTTAGCATTTACAATAAATAATTCGTTTTGAATAAGAACATTTCAATTATTTTATTAATTCTGTTTTATTGAATCAACAACCTGCTTTTTTGTTTACATTTCTGTTCTCAATTTAACAGTGCTACTAAGAACAATTATTTGCCTTGACGAAAGCTTAATTCATTTGCTAGCATATTGACACAGTTGTTTCTTATTTTTTAATCTTTATTTATTATGCAATAGAACCGTATAATCGACCTTTTAACATAATCTTTGTTCACCATATTCATTTTGTTAAACCATTGTTTTTAATCATAAATTCGACTAGGAAAATGCAAATAATCTCCTCATGGTACGTAAGTTCATTGTGACCTGACTGGTTAAATTGTTAATTAAGCACTCTAAGAATTTCACCACTTTCCTGGTGCCGCTTCACTAATTTCATTGTGGTTCGTTCAGGCATTGTCGATTTACAAAGAGTGACTGAATTATTCAACAGTCGCAAATGATATTTTCTGATTTCTCTGGTGTTTTTTTTACTTTTGTTAAAATAACTAAGCTTCTTTTTAAGAAAGAAGCAGATACATCATGTTGTTTAAACACATGTGCATGATCTGCTGAGATTGTAAGTGAGGTCATACCATGACAAACTCATTCAGTATCTAGCATAAATATATCAAGGCATACAATGTAGACTTTTACTTATTAAGTAAGGAAATCTTTCACAAGATAAGATCAACGTAAACAACAAAAATGACAAACTCCCATTTAACAGATCCTACAAATACATAGTATTTGCTCAACAGATACAAAAAACTTTTTCTGATTTTTCAGTTTTCTTAGCAACGTCAGCGAGTTCCTCTTTCGATTTTGCCAATTTTTTAATCTTGCACATCATTAAGCAATGCCCAGCTATTTAATTTTCCTCTATGCAAGTCTTCTGAACATGAGAGAAACGTGTTTATCTTGTGGTTTTACAAAATAAATAGTTTTTATCATTTTAAACATGATATTTTCAATGCGAACATTCATGTTGAGGGAAGGAAATCTTAGTTGGCAGTTATATTACTTGTATTTTGGTCTGTCTTATACAGTAGATTAAATTTCAATAATCGCTTTTTTGGCAGACAAAATTAATGGGACTAACGGAACAAGAATGTTTATGCTCTTTCCTAATGCCTTAAAAGGATATGAGGAAAAAACAAGCCCTGTCATGCAGAAGGGCTTAATATCCAACTAACCATTGGGTGTAGCAGATAAGGTGTCAAATCACTACAAGTATTTTTCATACTATATTCCATTAAAAAATCCATGGGATGTGCCAGGATTCAACCCCTGAACAGCATGTTGATCAATGACTTAATATGGTAAGAGACATTTAACAGACCAAAAATAGCGAGACAGATTTGGACTGCCAGTACTCACTGTTTTGGCATGTCAAAAATAGTGAGCTTGTTTCCAATCGTCACTTCTGAAATTTTCTTTGAAATTTTGCACACTCCTGTCATGACAGACAAAACCATTGAGGCTGGGCAAACCTGGATGATCAGAAACAACCGAAAATAAACATATTATTCATAATTTAATATTTTCGGTTCATTTTGGTCTGCCTATCCTTGCTTATTTGGACTGTCAGAAATTGAAAAACTTGAAATTTTCTTTGAGAATAGGAACATTTCTGTCATACAGATAAAACAAGTGAGACTAGGCAGGCTTGAATGAACGGAAATTATGAATTACAATTGCACGCTAGGTTTCATCTAAATTTTTTCAGTTCTTTCCTAATGCATAAAAAGAAAATGAGTAAATAACGTACAGATCAACAAGTTAGAATGATGAAAGGCCAAAAAGCATCTTGACAGACCAAATATGCAATTTATTTCTGTTTGTTGTATCTTCCGTGGTTTTATAATTTAGACCCATTTTTTAAGATGGGTACTTGATTAAGCAATGGCCTTGAGGTTTAAAATATTTCTCTAATCTCGCCTTCTGAACTAGAGACCTGTTTAAAATAGTTTTTGTCATTTTAAACCTGGCATGTCCAGTGAATAAACATGTTTTGGAAGGAATTTTAGTTGGCCGCTGTCTTATTTGTAATTTGGTCATTTTGGATTATTTTGATCTACTATCTTCGCTATTTTTGGTCAGTCTCATGCAGTGGATTCGATTTCAGTCATTGCTCTTTTGACAGACAAAACCAGTGGGACTAGGCAGACCTGGATGATCAGAAGTAACTGAAATATAAAGAGCTGTCTATTAGATTTTCTTCTAGAACGTTTTTGCTCTTTTTTCCTAATGCATAAAATATATATTTATTTGTTGTACCTTCCAGTTTTATAATTTATGTTCATTTTTTGAAGGCGGGTACATGGTTAACCAATGGCCAGGGAAGAAGAGGCTTTGTGATTTTTCTCTAATCCCGCATTCTAAACGAGGGACATGTTTTAAATAAATAGTTTTTATTCTTTTACACCTGGCATGTCCAGTGTTAACACACATGTTTTGGAAGGATATCTTAGCAGCAATATTACCTGTAATTTGGTCATTTCTGATTTTGATCATTTTGGTCTGTCTGATTTAATAGATTCGAGTTCAACGATTGCTCTTTTGGCAGACAAAACTACTAGTCTAGGCAGACCTGGATGATCAGAAATTATCAAATTACAAAAATAGGCTGCCTGCTAGGTTTTCTTCATGAATGTTTATGCTCTTTCGTAACGCATAAGGACACAAGGCTTAAAGGCATCTGACAGATCAAAAAAAGAATCAGAAACATCCAAGTTACAGATTCATCACTCAGCGATCTTAATTTGAATTCATGATTTTTGTTGTACATTGTATAGTTTTATAATTTAGACCCATTTTTTATGGTGGATACTTGATTAATAAATGGCCAAAGACGAAGCTTATAAACTTTCTCTAACCTCGCCTTCTGAACAAGGCTTGTTTAAAATAGTTTTTATCATTTTAAACCTGATCATTGTAAATAGTTATGGTTTGTAAGGAATTCTTAGTGACAGCTGTTATTAGATTAGTTTAATTTGGTCGTTTTGGATCATTTTGATCTGCCTATCCTTGAGGTTTTTTAATAGGTCTGATGTAATGGATACTATTTCAATCACTCTTTTGACAGACCTGTATGATCAAAAATAACTGAATTACAAATGAGAATGTTTAAGCTCATTTTTCCTAATTCATAAAATTTATCGTTATTGTTTTAACTTCCGGTTTAAGGTGGTACTTGCTTAAGCAACGACCAGTGACAAGGCTTATAATTTTCTCTATTCTCTCTTTCTGAACAAGAGACCTGTTTAGTTTTTATTGTTTTAATCCTTGTCATGTTCAGTATGATGTGCAAATTTTATGAATTTGGAAGATCACGTGTTTTGGAAGGAAATTTATATAGCTATATTATTTATAATTTGGTCATTTCAGATCATTCTATGTTGATCGTGAGCTTATCTAATAAATTATTTTGCAATCTTTTCTTGGCCTTCACAAAATATCTGAATTTCAATAATCTTCTAGAGTAATTTTGATTAATTTTTTTTTTTTTTTTTTTTTGTTATGTTGCTTTTATAAGCTTTAGATTATTTAGATATATTAATATTTTTAATCCAGCTTAAACAAAGTTTCAATTTTTAGGAAAAGGTATGATGGTTCCGTACTGGGATTTCCAGGGGGCGACCCTTGTTACGTCAAATTACGTCAGGGTTACGGCTGACAGCCCTAGTAAGACAGGGTCTCTGTGGAATTCTGTTGTAAGTGTCACAAACGTGTAGACAAAAAAATTCAATCGATTCGTTAAATTCATTTCATCTCGCAGCCATGCAATGTCGTCAGTTGGGAAATGCAGATCCATTTCAAAATCCATGGCCATGCCAAAGACCTGTTCGGCGACGGGATGGCTTTCTGGTACACGAAAGACCGCATGAACCCGGGGCCAGTGTTCGGTAGCCAAGATTATTTCTACGGACTTGCAGTCTTCATAGATACATACAGCAACCACAACGGTGAACACAATGTGAGTACTTATAACTTTGTAGTAGATGGTTTAATTGTCATATAATTAACTTATTCTCATTTACTTGTGAGAAAAAATTGTTCTTGGCAAATTCTGATCTTATTTAGGAACAGAAAAAATAATCACTTATCTAATCTAAATTAAAGAAAAATTGTTTTTGGTTAGAAGTGATTGTTGGAATTTGCCCTCTCTATTTATCTTATTATATCTTCTCATCCTTTCCATATAAAATGATCAATTATTGTATTCATAGATTATTTCAGTTTAAAAAAAAATTTAATTTGTAACAATATTTTTGTCAGTTATAAATTTTTATAATTCTTATTTATTTATAAATAAAAACCAAGCAATTCACTAGTGTAAAGTTACCGGGGTTTATTAAATGAAATATTTGGTTGTTTCCGATCATTCTGGTCTACCTATGTCTCCAGGATCAACATAGTGGAGATAGGCAGATCAGGATGATCCGTATCGACCAAATTACAGGTTTATCACCCCGCAGACCACACCGAGAAATCAATAATGGCGCAAATTTATTTTATTTAAGTATTTTGCAATCATACATAATTTGTTCACAGCACCAACATCCATATATATCAGCAATGGTTAATAATGGTACACTCCATTATGATCATGACCGTGACGGCACACACACCGCACTGGCAGGTTGTGAAGCGAAGCTTAGAAACGTTTATTATGACACAAACATTGCGATACGATATGAAAAGGACACGCTTACTGGTAATACCCAGATTTGAGATTATTTTAATTTTTTTCTCCTGAGATAATGATTCCAATACTATCCACATTCACTGACTGTGGAGGACAAATTTCTTTGGATAACACACAGAATCCTATCCTATAAATCCGTTCTTTCTCCTTTTTGCTGAGATGATGGCTCTTGGGTACATTAGATGAAGAAAAAGTCTACTTATTCACCTCCTATCTGTCCAATGTTTTCAACAACTTACCCTTGACTTAAATATCTCTCCCATCTATTGAAATTCACACCCAATGAAATATCCCATATCAAATGTCACCTACCACCAAAGAAAATGCCTGGTTTTGACCTGATCACTGCAAAAATCCTTTGACACCAATTTAAAAAAGTTGTAGTTTTCCTTACCTGCCTTTACAATTCTATTGTTAGAACAACAAACTTTCCATCACCCTACAGTCCAATTACTCTGTTGCCTATAATGGACAAAATCCTAGAAAACTGCTTAAACACATTCTTATAACTGTAACCTGTCCACCAGTTTGGGTTTAGACATTCTCATTCCCCTATTCAGCAGTGATGACACATTGTAGACATCATCGGCTGTAGGGGTATTTAGAGATGTGAAGCAAGCCTTCGATCAGGTATGGCACTCGGGGCTGCTCTGGCAGCTTAAGATAATCCTCCCTTTTACCTAGTACCTGGTCCCATTATCCTGCCTAACCAACACCCCCTCTTTCAGCAGGCTATCGCACAGTTGCAGGGATACCACAAGGAAATATTTTAGGATCCTTCTTCTATACGGTATACACTGTAGGCATTCCTACCCTTCCCGAACCTATGGGGATGATACCACCATCCTTTGGTCTCATAAAGATCCTGTTATCTCAACCAGAAACATGCAATACCATGTCACATCCCTTGAGCAGTGATGTGATGAAAGATTAATCATACAAAAATATGAATTTGTCACTTTCACCCTTTTGAGAATAACCACAACTCCCATCTACCATAATTATCTCCCTCTGCTATCTTAGGCTATATGTTGACAAACCACTTACATGGAACCCAAAAGACAAGAACTAAACAGATGTTCCAAGTAATCCTACCCGATGACTTCGATGTCTGAAGTGTCACTGGCCTCGTGTCCTCCTAAGTCCTAACAGTGAAAGTGATTAACATTAATAATAATGACTAGTTAATGAGATACATTTTTTGTACTCGTTTAGTTTTGTGTACTAAGATGTTATCAATTTACTTGAGTGCAGCAATTGGCACAGGTATAAAAGAAATAAATAAAAAATTGGGAGTAATCATGTGCTGGTTAATTGAATGAGACAATACTAACTTTATAGCCAAGCTTTTGGAGGTATATTTTCTCCTTTTCCCGACCCCCCCCCAAAAAAAAAAAAAAAAAATAGAAAAGCTCGGCAAAGGGGACTATTGTCTCATTCAATTGACCCGCATCTTATTATCCATTTTATGGTTCACCCAACAACCAAACTTTTTTTTTAGTTATGACTGATGTGGACAACAAAGGTGAATTTAAAGAATGTTTTAAAGTACCTGGGGTTAAATTACCTACAGGGTACTATTTCGGAGTTTCAGCAGCAACAGGTGAACTTTCAGATAACCATGACATCTTGTCCATGAGGCTACTAGAACTGGATTCATCTGATGTAAGGAATTTTTTCCCATTTCCCTAAATATTTTACACAATATAATTTTTTTTTTCTTTTAGGTGATCAGTGGTGAGGACAGGTCCAAAATCATGCCTTTCGCTACTGTGTTTGAACCTCCAAGAGGTACGGTCGAATCTTAATCGATGTGGTCAATTTATAAATAATTGTAATTTTTTTCAGAGCGTGTCGATGATGAGAAACCAGCTTGGTCGGGTACGAAGACGTTCTTTGTCATGCTTTTTGTCGCCCTTCTTTTAATAGCGATTGCAATAGCAGGAATCAGCTATTACAAAGATAGGCAGGAACATTCGAAAAAACATTTTTATTAAAAGGATATCGCTGCAGGCCTTGTCTTGCTACACCTCAAAACAAAGACTGTTTTGTACCTTTTTTAAAAATATAATGTGGGTGTAGAGAAATCCAAATTGCCTAAGTGTGATATTGTTTCAATAAAATCAGCTGGGAATAATTGTTACAAAACAATTTTGATATTTTTTCTAAAGAATAGTACACTTTATTTGAGTAATAGTTGGCCCGTTAAGGAAATTTAAAGTAAGCGCAAATGCCAAATGATGCTTTTCTCGTATTAAGAATTTATTTTATTTTTATAGTTGTTTCTAGTTTTGCCTTTTGGCTAGTCTTTAATCTTTGGTATTTGCGCTGAATATTTTTTAAGAATCGACTTCCTTTTAATAATCCATATTGTATAGAATAATAATTTAAAATGTCACGACTCCAAGTATGAAGTTCGGTGCTAGTCAGTAGCACTTAATGGTATAATAATAAATTATACTTGATATTTATAAGGCCAAATATTTTAAAACATAGCTGTGTGTCAAGGAAATTCTGAAAATAATCACGTTAACTAAACTATGTTGTATGTTCAGAACCCACAAGGTTACATTGTTCTTTGTTCAAATAGGATACAATTTATTTATTATAAATTAAAAATCAAATTTTCATTTTGCTCATTGTTGTACAAATTGTCCATTTCAAATTGAAGAACATGTACCAATGTATGCGAGAGAAATTCTAACTGCAAATCTTTGTTAAGGTTTTGAATTCTAATAGAAAGAATTATAATATCTGGCTAGTTTTATTTTAACCCTTGGTATTTATTTAACTAACTTTGGAAAAAAGTAATTCCCATGTTACCTTTCTAGCAAACAATTCTGCACTGACGCTCACTGGTGAAGGAGGATAGATGAGAAACCAAAATTATTAATTAATTATTAATCGGACACACAAACAACATATTTTATCAGGGGAAAACAATGAACTCCATCGGAGAAGAAGAGACAAAATAAAATAATAATTTAAAATAATATATAGGTCTTGAAGGTACAAAAAGGCAGATGTCCCAACCGCCAGACTTAACCACCGCGATCTGGCCCTCTTTTGCTAAAAATGCATTAAACAACATAATTTAAAGAAAGGAGCAGCATTGGTGGGCTGGATCGGCAGAAACCTCTCACATAACAGGAGTACTGTAGATTAAGTGGTCCTACAAGGTCAACCTCATACGCCTTCGTGTCTTATCCTGTCTGGTTGACAAAAGACAATTTGCCATCACACCGCTTAATTGAGTCAACATAGAAAGCATTGCAATTGCAAACAATGTGGAACAGTACATTTAAGAAAGTCATAACAGCCCTGCCATGTGGGACATGAAGAGTATAGCGACAAAATTAAAAGGAATGAAGTGGCACTGCATTAAGCCATAAGTAGTGGTTTTGACCAGTGTTTACTGAGAGGAAAACAGAGTCAGTGGATTGTTTGAATTGTTTCAGAGTGGGACATGGCAGACGGTGCAGTGCGTATCGCCTGATGGTTTTAAAACCGTGTCGGTGGGTTAATGAGATGCCCCCCCCCCCCCGAGTCAGTTTTGAAAGCATTTTTCATGGAATGGTTTTGTAGTAATCCATTAGCCATGCCACACATATGTTTTGCTTCCAAGTACGCATAAACCCGTTTATTTCTTTTTTGAATCTTGATGATTACTCAATTTTAAGTACAAATTATTGGAGTGCCCTTTTTTCTGTCTTTTTCCCATATCAGGTGAACCCATATCCGACTGTTTTCGTTCTTTTTTTTTCCATCAGTAATACAGCAAGGGTAGTAGAAGTATTTGTTCTTCATCCATTGCACTATGATTGACAATACTGTAAAAAGAAACGAACGAGACTAGTCGGCTCCTGGTGGAATGGTGAAACCAAACAATTGCTAGTGAAACTGCAGCGTCTGTCAGCTGCAGAAAAAAACGCTACATGTGTCACAGCCTAGACAGAACGTGCCCATTTCCCGATTTTGTAACAACGGAGAATCCACTTTTTTCATGACTGGGTTTCCTCCCTTTTGGTTCTCTTCCTGCAGAAGAGCAAGCACAAGAAGTGCTCCTGTTTCCTCGGGTTCTAACGTCATTCTGACCCCTTAGGAAGAGAAGTTGATTCCAAAAGTTGCCCATTGTGATACCAGCCAAGAATAGCATTAACATGACAGTCAATTTAGTTGAATTAACCAACCACCTCGTCTGAATGAGGCCATGGTACCAATTTTTGGTTTCTAATGGGATAGAATAATAAAAAAAAGCAGTATGTTTATATAAATTGCATTTAAAAAATATTTAAAAAAAAACAATACAACATAAAATAATTATGATCTATTTTTTAATCTATATATATAAATAAAATTTGAGGAAAAAAATGGTAACAGTAAAATTGTTAAATATGCAGTCGTTCTTTGAACAAATACTAGGCACATAAATTTTGATTTTTGTATGTACTTATAATTTAGGATTACATGCTTTAAAAAGAAAAATTTGGATTGAAAATAAATTCAACAAAGTGAATAAAAATGTGAAAAAGTGTGTAAACGTTGAACTGCGGGTATTCGGCGACGTATGGATTGAGGAGTTTGGAGCAGTCCAGGCAGCCGATTTGGTAGAGGTTGAGACGAGGGACTTCGGATTTGGGGTCAAAGTCGATCAGTCCAGAAAACCAAATTTTGTCCCCTTGCGCCAGCCCCTGGGTGAAGTTGGTGAACATGTTTCCGGCCTTGATCACCACTCTGGATTCGCGCATGTTCCAACTGTTGCTTGAAACCAGCTCCGCTTCTATCTCGTACTCATATCTAAAAAATAAATCGATAAAAAACATATTCTAACGGGATGGTTTAAAAGAAAAAAAATCAATGTTTTATTTTTCAATCTGTCTTCCAATAACGTCACTCCACAGTACTTGACGTTCCATTACAGTAGCATGGTAAGAAGGTATGAAATACTTGTTATACTGCAATAATATTAGAAAAGAAATTTTTTAACTACCAAAATTACTTGTTTTGTGAATTAAAACAGGTTAAGGTTAAAAGGAGCCTATTTAGCTGCGATCAACTAGATCTAGAACTATTGGTCAAGCTTGAAGATTTTTATCAGATAACTAAGCTTTGTTAAAAGCTCCTGTGTGAATCCTGCAGGCCTCGACTTTTATTCTCACAGGAGAAGGAATCTCAATGTGATTTTTGTATCAAACAGAAGACATGTTCCATTGGTTATTCTTCCTGGCAACATCTGCACTGGCTTGTTACAGTTGACCCAAAGTGCTCCATCAGTAGTCAGTATTTTTGACCATATGGTATGTGGGGCTAGTAAGTATCCTTATTTAACCTTCCTAAGCCAATTTATCACCCTCCTCATTGACCTTCTGCCTTGATGCCCATAGAAGGGCAATGTTTCCCTATGTCTAACAAGACCCTGATGCAATCATAAACAGCAGCTTTACTACTGATCAGGTTTTAGCCAGTCCAAGAATATGTTTTGTTGATAATACAAAGCCTTTTGACCTCCCTGGCACATTTTTCAATACCCAGTCTTATAGGACCTTCAGTTCAATAACCCAGGACTTATTCTAGTCATTGATAAATTTCCATAGATACCAGTGCCTACCACATGTTAAATAGGGTGTGCGCTGGTGGGTTCGCAAAAGCAATAATGAAAATAATAAAATCAAATAAAACCCCCAGGTGAGCGGGAGGGAGTGTAGTCCCAATCTTCTTTTCAGTACCCAGCAATGCAGCACCTCAACCCAGAACCCTCAACATAACCAAGGCCCTGGGTAACATGACGGCTTAAATTACTACGATACAGCTGGTGGCTATCACTCCATAGTATATTAAAAGAAAATTGAACTAAAAATAACTTCTTGAACTAAGGAATGCTAAAACCTTTGTATTTTTCACACGGAAGCAAGAAAGCGGAATTAAAGATGTTAGTTCCTCTTGGACGCATGAGAGCAAGTCACGACGAGAGAAAGTTACAGACGCAGTCCCTTAATGGACCGTTTAAGGATTAGGGTGCAAGGGAACATGGCAGCATTTCAATGGAAAAATAAATATTTACGCTAATTACTTTGGCATGAACACTCGGGATTAGGGCCATCTGTATACTTTTTTTTTTTGCCTTATGATCTTTGCATATTAGCCATGACAAATCTCTTATATATGTTGTTCAAATTGGGGGTTATCGGGCAAAAATGGCCAGAGGCAACGGTGGGAATCGAACCGCGGCGTGAGAGTCTCTCATGCTAACCACTCAGCTACCGCGGTCCCCCCTGTATACCAGATCCCTTTCTCCCAAGACTCAAATGGACTCCCACGAGTCCTGCATAATAAACCTATATTAAACCTTTTGGACCTATTCACAAACCCCAAGATTTTGGACCATTTTATCTTGGGGAGTGTTTTGGTTATGTTCTCTCCTTCGAAAGTTTCAAATCTTTCCCTAGCATACCTATCGCATTCTGCAAGGTAGTGTCGAGCCGTTTCTTCCTTTGTTTCACAGAAGCGGCAAAAGGGGTCTGGTAGAATACCCATTATGAAGAGGTGTCTTCTCAAGGGGCCATGGCCCGTTAGGATACCTATCAGCCTCCTAATTCCCCTCCTAGAGTTCGAGAATAACCGTTTCGTTTCTTTTGGTTTGATTTCCTTCAGAAACTCCTTCGATTGCCTGTATCCGGGGGACATTTGTAGTGAACAATTGAACAAGATTGACCAACTATGTCGGGTTCAAATGCAGCGTTGCTGAATCCAATCCCAAGACCTTTACCTTACAATATGAGCACTGTGTTTATGGCTGTCATTCTGGAAAACGATGCATTATACCCTTCCCCATTTACCTCTTCTATAAAAACCCCACTAAAGCTCTCCGTGGCCATTTCATTTGTCGCCGAGAATCAAATAGATTACACGACATTTGAAAAATGGCAAAAAGGATGGAAAATTCAAAAGGTGGGGTTGAGATGGGAAGTTGGTGTCCGAGTGGATCGAGGTCACGATAGCTCAAGTGGTAGAGCAGCAGCGTATCTAGCCGAAGATTGTGGGTTGGAATCCTGCTCGTGCCATTGACTTTTTTATCTCAACTAAAAACCTTAGTTACTGTGAAGGTTGTTTTTCAATTTGACTTTTTGAACAAAAAATTTCAAAATTATTTCCGTATTTCAGTAGTATCTTTACAAAACAGTGCTGTAATGAACGTGTTAACGATTGCGGCCCCCGAAGCCCACATGTATATGTAGTTTGTACTTTCACAATAATTTTATTTTATTGTTTTGTTATTTTATTAACTATTAATAGTGAGTAACGTAAAAGGTCCTCCAACATACTATCCCTGTTGGTAGTTGAAGACTACCTACTTTCCATTTATCTTTTTTAGTGTTTTTATTTTTTCTAAATATTTTTAATTTGAATAAACCAGATGGGGTAACACACTCGTTTGCCTTATTTTTATATTTTTATTTAATAAATACCTGTTCCAATTTGATAAGTGGCATCTTGAATGCAGTTCGTAAGGGATATGGCAGTTGTCCACATCATCACACTCACTGGAATATTTCTGGCCATACATACAGGTAACAACATTTTGTATCCACTGTAAATGAAAAATCATGTTAAATGTGAAAAAAATTACAGAGATTTGAATAAACTCACATTAGGGAGCTTTGAAACAAAATTTCCTAAAGGATTATAAGTATTTGTGATTACTGTTTTCTTAACGAGGCCTTCCCAGTGCACCTGAAGTCCTGATAAAGACGCACATCTGATCTGTGCGGGGACTTGAACAGGCGAAGTATCTTTTGAACATATATGCTGATATTGTTGCCAACTCAGATGAGCCGATGAATTATACTCGTCGATAGGAGAATTTGCAAACGTTGAGAAAATAAGTAATACAGCAGATAACACACCCAATCCGACCTGGAAAAAAAATGAATTAATAAATTAAATAAAAGTACTCTACAACAAATTCAGTTTTTTACCTGTAGTTTTCCTATAAATCTTCCAGTTCTTGAAGGCCTAGTTCCAAAGTATATCAGAGCAAAATTACAAAGACAGGCTGCTGCGAAGGTCGTCGATGCAAAAAGTGCCTCATCGGCAATAATAAAGAACTTGACAATAGCGACAATTGGAAGGAGTAGGATAGCCAATCCAGCCAAAGGGAGAATAAGGACTGCTATCACAACGACTAGAGAACTCCTCAGAAGACCAAACGTGGTCGCTCCTAATTTTCAACATTTTTAGGTACATCTTTCAAATATATTACAAAAAATAAATACCGTTGGAAGCGATGATGGCCATCTGCCACCAAGATAATGATATCAAGTGCGGCAGGAAAGATTTGTATATCCCTTTTCTTTGATCTCTTACTGCCATTCTCCAGAGTAAAATGAACATTAAAACATACATTAAAATAGAGAAATTAAAATCTCCTGAAAAAAATAAAAAATCAGTGAGGTTTATTTTCAAACATTCAATTCAAAATATTAATGTAACTGATAATACTGAGTATTGTTGTGACAAACGTTGGCATGAACAAGTTAAGGAACGTCAAACTTTGTGACAAAACCGCTTCCGAATCATAAGGATTTTGCCTCGCCAAGGCACTTATTCCAAATGAGAGCAAAGCAAGAAAATCAAATTTGCCATCTTGCCACTGAAATATTAAAATATAAAAATTAAATACAGTCTAAAATAAAAGAACACGATGCCTACAAAAATACAAATGTCTCCTTTTTTTACTTTAAGTGTATATACAATTATATATTAAATAAAAAACATAATTCGACTGACAAAACCTGTGAAAATAGGCAGATCAGGATGATCCGAGACGAAGTTATAAAATAAATTTACTTATTAATCAAGTATGCTAAAAACATTTCCTGCCCCTTTCAATGTCTAACTTATCAGTATCAAAAAAAAAAAAAAAACCTACCGCAAAATTGTACAGTGTCACAAAAGCGCAGATCGTTGATAAAACAACCAATTCTGAATAAGGTATTATCATTACAGAAACAAATTGGCTTAAAGCTATGTTGGCAACTAATGCTAATAGGAAAGCATAACATGGGTAAATGTTGTTGTAACAATGACTCATTTCTGCACCTTCCGCATTCACTTCCTGTCCTCCCCACGTGACTAATAAATTCGACCACCTGTAAAAAAATTTGAAATATCAATAGAAGGAAGTAAAATTGTAAACTTGAGAGGAAAAACAAAAACTCACTGTCTAAATTCATTGAATTCCCATCTCTTTGTAAGTATTTGGCAAGTTGTTATTAGCATGATGGCAAGGCTTGAAAAATAAAAAAGGCTCGGCAGTGCCTCAAAGATACTGTCGAATCCTATTGAATATAATGCTAAAATAACCAATGTCTGTATGCACGTTGTGTTGTTGGGGAAAAAAGAAGAAATAGGCCTTTTTCCTGTGTGTAAACAATAAAGTATTCAAAAACAAAATTAATAAATAGTTACTCAGTTATAATAGTACCGATAGAATGAATAAAATGTTGATATGACGAGTGAATACTTGTAATTGGAGTAAATATGGAATTTTGAAGGAAAGTTCTATTAGACCTAGAGTTAGATTTCTTAAGTGCTAGAACCCTGTGTACAATTGGTAGTTTGCCTCTTGAGTGATGGCTAGCAGCTGATACTAGCACATCTTCACTTAATTTTTCACACGGTGGGAGAATGGAATTAGGTAAACAGTCTGTAAAAAAAATTTTTTTTTTAATGTAATGAACATTTTTAACTTCCATTGTTTCCTAAAATTACCTTTATAATCGATACTACTGTACGAAGCAGCCTTCTGGACAGATTTCTTCTCTCTGTCCTTGCCTCCGTCTTTTTGCGCCCTTTCCATTGCCTCAGATAACTGTTCACTCGTAATATAATCAGTACCTTGAGAAAGGCTATAAAATCCCAATATTTTCAATAAAACTAGAAGTATAATAGATTGTTGAGTAAATATTTTTCACCTTGTAAAAAGAACTCTTGCGGCATGCCTTGAAATCTTTTCCTCCTGGGACATGTTAAGGCAGTTAGTAACATCCCCAATGTTATGTTTAGTAATGCCTTAAAAAAACGAAAATGTTTAACAGATAAATAATGGGAATAAAATCACTCACCTTTTCCCGTCTTGAGACACGTTTCCAGTATTTTTGTGGCTTCTTTATGGCCTTGTTCAGACGCTTTGACAAGCCAGTAGACCCCCAATCTATCATTCTGTTCTTGATCGACACTGTCCTCTAGAAATAAAAGTTTTGTCACTCTTCATAGTTTGCTACATTTTTTTAACCTGACGGTTTTGGATAAACATCCAAAAAGGTGTTAAGATTGAAGCATAAACATTTTCCAAGTAACTCTGTACTTTGATGTCTGGTTTGCTTTTGCCAGGCGTACTCAACAAGGGACCAACTTCTCTGGCTCCAACTATTGACAAGGCGCCAGACAGTAGATTTTCACATTTATACTCTTTTTATAATAAATGTTTGTACATCTCAATCTCTCAATCTTGAAGATTATAAGCAGGCCTACAACTGTGTTGAAAAGAGTTACTGAACGCTATCAAAACTGAATTCCTGAAAAATTAATTACTCTGACAAGTATGACACTCAAAAAAGAAGTTTAAAATAACATATAAATGGCCAAATGGCTTATGACAGGGAGATCTGGCAGTGACAATATATTTAACATGCTCTATAAAGGGCAATACAAGCGATGTAGTGATATGATGTAAAGTTGCAGAAATAGGATAGTTTGTCCGACTCGTATTTGTCATGCTAGAATCCTGGGTCCGAATCCCAGTGTTTTTAATGAAAAGAGCATGAAAAATTTATTGTAAAATGGTTTGTCACCTCATCTGTGACATCCAATAGGTAGTTGGACATTAAGCCATCCTGTAAGTCAGGAATTACTTTACTCTACCAATTGTATAAGAAGCCAGCATTATAACGCTCATCTAAAGCCGCTTGTTAGGTCATGTGGAGAGAATGGTATTGGAATAGTTGCCCAAAAGGCTACTGTTCCATCTATCTGGTGGGTCTCAAACGAGAGGAAGACCATGCACGCAGTGGCTTGATGACCTCCATGAAACCTTTCCCAGTTTGGTGATATGGAAGTAATGAATGGCAGAAATTTGAGACCGAGGTCTGGGTAGTGTCACTATAATAATAATTATTCGGAGATCGTGAGATGTGGTGTGGTGTGACATAAAAAACATTTTCTAAAACCTACATCACTCCAGACCGCATCTCACGATCTCCAAATAATCATTGACTAACGGTCACTAAACGCCATACACAATAATAATCATAAATGTTTTAGTCAGCCAAACTCTGTTTCTCTAAAAGTCTTACAATGGAATTTAGAGATGATGAAAGGTTGAGACCTGTAAAAAATATTATAGAAACAAATTCTGCACCCTTGGGGCAAAAGAGGATAAGTCAAATTTTAGCAAAACGAGAAGTGCATATTCCTGGAAGTCTTTAGGCCTCACAGACTGAGTATAATTGATAGCGAAGGAAACTTTTTCATAAAACAAGACAAGTAAAAGGGAAAAAGTTACTTTAAAAAATTGAATTTTTACCAAATGTCTAAAATTTAAAATTTTAATCTTGGGGAGTTGTGTTTTTGGACTTATCCAGTTTTGCCATGAGGGTGAAGTATTATGATTAATGTTAATGCTAGTAATACCTAGTTTTCCTTCCAGCAGTTGCTTTCCCAAAATTGCCTGGGAATCCGGGCAGCCATCCTCTGCTAAGCAGCCGTTGAAGACTTGAACTGGTGTTGTCGAGTCTGAAGAAAACTAGCTTACAGTTGGTTCTTTTTTTTTCTTTTTTTACCTTTTAACTTACAAACGAACTTACTAAATCTGTTCCACTTTTTGCGCCCTTCAGGGTTGTTTTTTCTATCCCCAGACATTATATGGACTGTATCGTCTTCCAAAACCCGTCTCTGGCTAGTGACTGTTTAATTTTCTAAATACCAACGAGATTGAGGCTAAGGTCGTCATTCATCTTGCAAGTCTGGACCTGCATCTAAACCGATAAAAAGTAGTTGAAAACAAAATTGGATGGTTCTCGGTTTACTTTACCCTACAGGTAACTTTGCTGTTACCAAGGGTACTCGGCGAACTTGCCCACTGGCACCGACTTGCTCCAACGGTTACGAATTACGATCGTTAACTACCAAGCACCAGACTTGGCCAAAGATTTTCCCTGGGGTATACAAAATCTATTTTATTGTCGTCTATTTTAAATAGATTCGTGATGGAAAAGAGACAAAATAGGAATTTAGACACTGAAGTAGAATATTGAGTAAGGAATCGCGATTAATGTTAGCCAAGAAGAAACCTGGAAATGAAAACAAGCGATTATCCCTTTAATGGATCACCTTGAATGAGCTTTTTTAATTTAATCGGGGTTACGCACATGACATAACATTTAAATATTATTAAAAATCTTTCATAATTTAAATAAAATATATATTTTACACCTTTAATATATTATATAGTTATAACTGCTTTATAATTGTAGTGGTATAAATGTATTATTGTAAATTAGAACTTCTAATTTTTCAACTTTGTTGAAATAAAGTTCTTATTACCTTTCAAAAATCTATAAAAGTTTTAAAAGCTGGCAAGTTATTTTATAATTGAAATGAAAGTTTTTAATAATACAGTACATTTTAACAATGATTTAATAGAGTGATTATAAAGGATTTGACAAATTTGGCCTTTTAGTTTATTTATTTTTTATAAACACAGGCTTGGAAGCCTAATATCACAGGACAAAAACAAGACAAACACAATATAAAAATAAATTTAAAAAAACACAAATAAGTGTGGATATAAAAAGAAACAAAAATCTTAAAAGTAAGTGGTTTGGTCTGTAGAATAGAGTGGGTCAAGATAAAAATATTTGATAACAACAAAAATATTATCATGACAAGATATAGTTTTTTTGTAAATTAAGTGGTCAGAATAAAAAGAAAAAGATTTAAACATCTTTAGATCATGAACAAAGAGAAGAAAAACGATATTATTAAGCACAGTGTAAATGCCTTTATGAAAACAGGAAACATTAGTGATCCTAAGTGAGATCCCTGAGAAACTCCTGAAGTAACTAAGAAATTTAAAAATTAATTTTAATTATTTGGAACCTATTTTATTTTTTTTTATTTATTTACTTAATGAGAGAAAATAAAAATTCTGCAAACAAAAAATCTCATTTCGTATCAAATTTGACAAGGTCTGGCATGAATGATGAATTGGAAACGAAATTGAATGCTATCAAAATGGTATGTAAATATTATCAATTTTAAGTGGCAGATTTTTTTGTATAGTTATTAAATTCATAATTATTCTTAAATAAAGCATCTTATTAATGTAGGTCACAGTGGAGGAAAGGTTTTTTAAATCCTTATTCAACATCCAAAAACCTTTTAAAAAAAACCAGAAGGCTCCAGTGATTGTGAACATAAACCCATTTCCTAGTCCACATTCATTATCATCAATATAAAATTACAACAAGTTAAAGGTAAAATAACAAATGTAGATAATTATTTATTAAATGTATTCAAATTTAGTTAGTAAGTATATCACTAGATTATGTTGGCCCTTTAACTTCCTGGTTTTTTAACGATAAAGCTCTTAATTTTATTTATTTATTTTTTATATAAGGAGGCGTTTTGGTCCCTATATCACCCAAAGGGATCTGATATTCTTTCAACAATTTGAACATGGTGCTTTTTAAAAGGAATTCTTTATTATTAGTGTTAAATAGAAGGGATCGTTTTCATTCATAGGTCCTGTACAGGGTTGAGGGCGGTGCCGTGAGATGGCACGGAGTTTTGGTAGCGCATGCCCCACCAGAAGAAGGCGTGTGTCTGCCCAGAAGAGGGGAGCCATGCTTTTTCTCACCCGATGCCCACAGTTTTGATGCAGTGACAAACGCAAACCCCCGGCCCCTAGACTTAACCTCGACCCCCAGGTCGAATTTCTTCCAGTTCCAGTGCTCTCTTCCCCGGGCAGAAAGCCGATTCCTGGAGAAGAGAAAAACGGCCTTTCCCCCCACAAGAATCCCTTGAAATCCAAGTGGTTTAAACAAAATAAAATTGGTGCCAGTGAAGTGAGTTTGTCGACGTGATACTTCTTTGTGCTTGTGTATGCGGATTTTTGAGTGAATTTTACATCAAATGTAAGTATAATAAGGCTCATTTATAAACATTTATATATATAAATATTTTTGAAAAATTATTTCGCCATGCAACAAAATATAAAAATACAACACAGAAAAGAGTATGGGTGTTCCATCTACATAATTACTTAGCTAAAGACAAAGAGTACTGATTTTTGAGCCCACACGATTTTTTAAGAAACATCTCGTATATTATTCGTTATGAATTTTGCCTTTTAAAAGGTAAAAAGAAATTTCTACCAAAAACAAAACAATCAAATCATGCAAGCCAAACAGGCTCTATTAAACATTTAGTCAAATTTAAAAAAAGAAGCTGTTGATAATATTTTGCATAATTCGACAAAATTGAGCGTAGAGGACAGTGTTGTACAAGTCGTCGCCAAGCTTTTGATCAAAGCCGGTCATCTGGGCGAATGCAAGTGGGAATCTTCAAGAGGTGGCGTTTCATTATTTTTTTCCCCACTTTTAAACGGCCGGAGTGATGGACAATAGGCGGGTCAGTTGATACCTGAAGCAGACTTTTTCGAAACTGCTCGAAACGGGGTAAAACTGAGAATAATTTAACAACCGCACAGACAAACAAACACACGTACAAATAGGACATCGCTGGTGGCATTGATCAACGGTGAATAGTTCAAAACAAATTATAACGTTGTAGAAGATAGTGACTGTATGACTATTTGGATTGCTTTACCCTAAGCTGCAGTATGACGGAAGGTACAATGAAAAGGATAAAAAGGAAGCATAAACGTTGAAATTATTGTTCAAAGTAACAGTTATACATAAACACACTTGTATAAAAACGTACAGCAGAAAGATAGTGACTATATGACTATATGAGACTCTTTACTTGCTAGGGTGCAGTATGTAGAAAGATATAATGAAAAGGATAAAAAGGAAGCAAAAACGTTGAAATTATTGTTCAAAGTAATCGTTATATTTAAACACACTTGCATAAAAACGTACAGCAGAAAGATAGTGACTATATGACTATATGAGACTCTTTACTTGCTAGGATGCAGTATGTAGAAAGATATAATGAAAAGTATAAAAAGGAAGCATAAATAGGAAATTAATTATTGTTCCAAATAATATTTATACATACTATACACACAAATGTGAAAATGTTCAGCAGGAAAATAGTGGCTATTTGAGACGTTTTATTTGTTAGGCTACACCATGCCAGAAAACACGTTGTAAAAAATAAAAAAGGAAGCATACAAGTAGAAATTATTGTTCAAAGTAATATTTACACAGACAAATATACGAATATAAAAATGGACAGCAGAAAGGTGATGACCATGTGACTATATGACGGGAATTACTTGCTAGGCTGCAGTATGTCGAAAGATACAATAAAAGAAGAAGCATAATTATGGAAATTATTGTTCAAAGTAATATTTATGCAAATGTGAAGCAAAAAGATAGTTACTATGTGTCTATACGAGACGCCTTACTTGTTATGCTGCACCATGCCTAAAAATACGATGAAAAGGCTAAAAAAAGAAGCCTAAATGTACGAATTGTTGTTATATTTCATATATATGAATATTTAACATATATATTTTCATATACATGTTATATTTCATAAATTATGTTCATATACAGACAAATATATAAAATTTCAGCAGAAAGGTAGTGACTATGTGCCTGTATGAGACGCTTGTTAGGCTGCATCATACCGGAAAACAAAATGAAAAGAATTTCAAGGGGCATAAATGTTGAAATTATTGGACTTTTACCCCGAAGAGTTGTCACTCCTCGATGACCCTAGGATCTAGCTGGGCGTCAGGGAGTTCACCTATCCCGTTATGTGGCTGGGTCGCAAGTATCCCCATGTGCCAAAGAAATCATCGCTTCTCGACCAACTGGGGGGACAGGGCTGTCGACAGCTAGGACATTTCAGCCACCAAAGCATGCAAACTGTATTATTCTAACCTAAAACTAATTTCCATTGTACCGTCGCACAAATAAATACATTCACACATTGCACTCATTCTGATTAGTCGGTGGACTTCGCTAAATTCTTTCATCGATCTACGCACAATACCAATGATTTAACCTAAATTTGGGTCGATGGCGGAATATTTATACAAGAACCCCATCGACCCCAAACACATACACTGCATGAAGGGCGAATGTGACGCTATATTTCACTTGATATCCCCTCACCACTCACACTAATAAATACCCGCACTCAGTTGATATTATTGTTCGAAGTGTGTTATTTATGTATGTTACGTACAACAGATGATTGTCAGTGTGAAAGTCAGTGACTATATGAGACACTTTACTTGCTAGGCTGCAGTATGCCGGAATATCCAATGAATATGATAAAAAGGAAGCATAAATGTTGAAATAATTGCTTAGTATAAAAACATACAGTAGAAAGATAGTGACTATGTGACTATTTGAGATGCTTCAAGATTTAACAATCACACATAAAAACATGACAAATCAGACAATTTTTCCATATACGAGTTGGAAAAACAACAAAGAAAACGTGCCCAACAAACAATAGTTACATAATAAAATTGAACGGATTGTTAAACGTTCGCTGTGGTTTTGTGTGAGGTATGAGACTGCTGTCAACCGCAGAACATGAGGAGAATATGAGCACAATCGATGATTTGTACTCAGATTATGTCACAAAAAGGGACGAATTCAACTAAGGAAGTACAAAAGGAAATTATCAAATTTTGATAGTATTTACTTGCTTTCAAGTGGTGCCATAATAGTGACAAAATGTTTAAATTGTAGGATAATGCGCCTGTTGCGTTCTTTTTTCTAAACTATTCTTAAATTATTCGGCTTAAAAGTTAACTTTTTGCATGATCTCACTGTGGTTGCAAACTAATCAAATTGAACAGCAGAGACAGTGAATATTTCTGATAGTTGGACAGCTGCAGCAGAAAAGAATAGGAAGCATAAACGTCAAGATCAAATGTATATAAAGCCTATATAATTGACCATATTAATTATTTCAATTAATTATACTTTTTAACTAATGCCTTTGAGATGAAAAAGTTAGTGACACGAGCTGGACCAAGACCTTAGATACAAAGTGTAATTAATGTATATAAAACCTTTAGTAAAAAAAAATATATATATATCTTCTACAAATCTACAAGTCCAGGTTGAGGTAAAGTCCTGAGAATGAATAGTGCCTTAGTGAAATATACGTTATGTGCTTGTTCTTGTCCCTCTCAGCCAAAACAAGAATGAGTTATAGTTATACAGTTCATAGTTATATAGTTGTTCATACGTTAAACTGTTCATAGTTATATAGTTACAGACAGTGCATCACTAAGCAGAGTCATGTGACTATATGACTATGTGAGATGCTTGTATGGCTGAGGTACATCTGAAGATAAGAAATAGAAGGCAAATTTAAAAGGTGTTGGATAAATTAAAAACAATATACATACTTAGATAGTTATAGCACAATATAGTGGCCATGTGAATTGAGATGCTTTACCTCCTAGGCCGCAGTATGCCGGAAGATACAATGAAAAGTTAGTGTCACATAACAAGAGACATGAACGTTGAATTTCTGGTTCAAAGTAACATTTATACATACACACACAAACATAAAAATGTACAGCAGAAAGACTATGTGACTATATGAGACGTTTTACTTGTGCTGCAGTATGCCGAAAGACAAAATGAAAATGATAAAAAGTAAGCATAAACGAAGAAAGTATTGGGCAAGTTATAAACAATATTTACACAAATGTTGATACTTAAAAGTAGTTGCTTTTCAAATAAATCTGTGTTTTATACTTACTGTGTTGAGAAAAACGAAATCACATAGGTTTTGAAGGTGAATGAACTGGGAAAGTGTGATGATTTCAAAATAATCAATTCATAAGTAAATATAAACACAATTCCTGTAGAACCGAGAAACAAAGTGGTATTTTTTCACGTATTCGAAATAAAATCGTGCGAAAGTCAAATATATTAAATTTTTATGGTATTTCAACATGTAGGACTTCCGTGGATTGATTTTATAAAAAATCAAATTTTGTCCCAAGCAAATTCATGTTATTATATAAGTGTCTTAGACGTTTCCTATAAATAATAATAAAAAGAATGAAGTTCATAACAGCAGTATGACTATTATTTGTTATGCATTGGCCCAAGAACGAATTGCTAAAAAACAAAGAAGAATTGTGGTAATAATTGGAAAGAACACATAAATGTTTTAGAAGAAAATTGTAGCAGGCAGCACTGTCTTTTGTAATGTGATCATTTTCGGTCATCCTGGTCCGCCTATCCTCGCTGGTTTGGTCTATTTTCGGATCAATCACTGACACTATGGTTCAAGCAGTAAATATAGTTTTTACGAGTGATGTATGAAGGTCGTGGGGTTAAAATCACAGTCCCGCTACATCCCTCATAAAGTCGAGATGGCTCACCTTCACATCTCAAAAATTATCGGTAATATGTATAATCTTAAGCTTTAAATATTTTAGGAAATAAGTTGCCATTAAGTAAAAAGGTTCTAATTGAATCATCGGTATTTTTAAGTAGAAGTACAAGTTAAGTAAGGACTCAGATTTTCTAACCATAAAGCAACATCACAGAAATGATTGGTAAATAGTGAAAATAAACAAGTCCACAGTTTTCTACATGCCATGATATGTAAATTGTAGATATTAAACAAGACATAGGCAGGAGAAAATTATTTCTTCTCAAAGCAATTGTCCTTGCCAAAAAAGAAAACATTTATAGTACTATAAGTAACAGTTGTACTCATGAGGCTTAAGTACCTTAAAAATAAAGAATCTAGCTATCACAGAATATAAAGTACACAAATTCGACATATCATGATATCAGATTTTAGATATTAATCAAGTAAAAAAAGGCAAAAAAATATTAATTATATCAAGTGTACGATTTGTTAGTCTAAATCACCTTAAAAATAATAAGTAGAAGAAGAATAATCTAACTGTACTTGCCAAATAAAGGATGTTAATATTAATTTCAATAGTACAATA